CAGACATCTTGACAGCCAACGCGCGCTTTTTCGTGGGACGCATGGATTGTCGACGCGACTGGGCGCCCGCAACGGAAGCACTAGTCTCGACAATGATGGAAGAGCAGGCGAAAGCCGCCAAGAAGGGCAAGAAGAAGGTCGACGCCACGCCCATCTCGACGACGCCAGGCGCAAAGAAAGTGACGCCCAAGGACACCTTCTTGAGCTACGGCAAAACTTCAACCACAGCCGACAAACCCACTACGTTCGTCGACTTGACAAAGAGCAGGCTGGCCAAGGTCGACGCAGCCATCAAAGCAGCAGAAATGGGTCGCAAGCGACCCCGTGAAGAAGAAGTCGCCCCGACGCCTCGACCGGCCTCACAACCGCGCCTCATCCTGAACAAGGACGACAAGGCCTTGTTCGACGTCTACACCATGCGTCCAGTGTTTGATGACGACTTGACAAACGAAGCCATCCTGTTGTTCCGTCGACAATGGCAACGCGATCAGCCAATGGAGATGGCCCTGCCGCTCTTGAACATTACGACTCCGACGAGCCCGTCACCACGTCTCATCACGAATCAAGGCGACCGAGCATTGTTTGAGCGTTACACACGACGCCCACTCCTGGACGACGACATCTGCAACGAGTTCATCCTTCTCTGCCGACGCCAATACGACCGTGACCGTCGTCGTACGAACCCAGCGCAAGCTACAACGTCCCCAGTCGTGTCACAGACGCCCGCTATGACCAAGACGACCAGGACGTCCACCACACCCGCCCCGACGACCGCCGCCGCCACCAAGACAGCAGGCAGGACGCCGGCCACGACGGCGACAAAGACCGGTAAAGACGCCATCATGAACACATGGTTGAGGACGCCTGAGAAGACCACACCAGCAGCCCCAACGTCGACGCCGGCACCACCGACCACGACACCAGCCGCACCGTCGACGCCACCACGCGCTCCGACAACACCACCGACTCCGACACCAGCTCAACCGTCACCACCACCCAAGCCGAACCGTGGCGCCGGCTGTGGACGTGGACGTGGACATAGAGGACGTTGGCAAGGCCACTACAGCCGCGCCATCACGCCGCTCCACACGCGTTACGAAGAACACCAACAAGACGAACTGAAGGATGGATGGCGTCCTGTGATGAGTTCCCTGTTTTGACGACTGTTTGTTTTGTGACGACCTACGAATTGTGGTTTCGTGCCTTGTTGTGCACCTCGCGTTTGTTTGAGTCACTACGACCATAATCCCTTCACGACGAGGACGTCGCCCTTCGCCCCGCCGAGGGGGGGACCTGTTACGGTACCCTCCAAGGAGGAAGAAGGGTCGTCGACCTCGTCACCGCCGGCTGCACTTGCCCGCAACTACGACTGTCCAAGGCGACTTGGACAGTCGTAGCTGCTGTAACCGGCGGAGTCAGACACGACATGTTATTTCGAAGTGCACAGTAGTTAGTTATTGAATCAACCTTTTCACAGAATACGTCTTGACCATGCAACACACCTTCTATACAGAGTACTGAAGCGTGAAGATGATTTCCTCTGTCGAGGGACTGCGACCGCTCAAGATGAGCCGCCTTCAAAGTAGTAGCAAAACGTTGCTAGGCCAGCTGCGATTGCGCGGCGGATGGGGCTTAACCGTTTTAGACAATCGGTGGAGAATACTGGCGTTACGGTGCGCCGTACCTGCCCAGCTGCACAACGCTACGCGGACATATGCGGCCTAAGGCACGTAGGAATAGGACGCCGGTGCAGATGTAACCCTAAGTAATAGAACAAATAGGACAGATTTATTCTACTAATCATGGACGTTCCGGCCGGCGAGGAGATACACCTGTATGCGGTGCCGGCTACGAACCTTCGACTGTCCTAGGAGGCAGTTCGAAAAGCCAAGATATCTCCACAGCGAACTCCGCAGCGGCGGGCGGCAGGCGTGCTTGGTACGCGATCTACGAGGATGAGGCTCGCCTTATCTGCCGACAACGAGCCGACAACGATTGCTCTCGATGTCCTAGCATCGGTAGAGCATAACAAGAGCAAGGTTAAGGAGTCAAGAAATCACTCGAGAGATTGTCGCTACTCGGGTAATTTCAATACAAGAGGAGGGAATTTAGGAGATAGAGAGATAGCAGCGTGAAGTCTCGGCTTCCGCGGCTAGGAACTTGAAAGACGGAGGACGTAGTGAACCCACCGTGGGACAAGATTTAAGGACTATCTGTCTACACTACCAGCCGATGGGTGTCGCCTCAGCCTAGATCTGGGCAAGAAGAAGCGACTGTTCTCCCACGGAAGCACTCCGCAAGGAGGGATAGCAGGAGGAGGGGGGGCCGTCCGCGCCCCCGTCGTACGGCCCTCTGAGCGTCGTTCAGGGACAAGAAGCATCGCGCACGACCCCAGCACGATGAAACGGGATGAAGTACCACTGCCCGCGAGTGGGAAAGTTTGATGGCCCAGAGCAGCTCCGGGTGTCCGCCCACCTCGAGCATCTGGATAGGGGAGACACCACTTCGCGCCGACGAAGTGGAACGAGGACAAGCGAACGAAACGTTATGCGACGAGGACCCCATCCAGGGCCAGCGGATGAAACGCGGACAAGGTACGAACAGGCATATGGCTTGATGGAGTGCATCAGGCGCGAATGAGAACGAATAAGACTATGGCTAGGCCATCGGAACCAGGCTTTCCTCGCGCGGCGAGGTTTTTGCCTGACTTGGTTGGAACATGTCGACAACAGTACTCTCATGGAGTGGCTACCCCTATCACACTCGCATAAAGCTAGATTTGGGGAACATTTGAGTCGAGGCAGCTGTGAAGAGCGAACAATGTCAGGTCAACGAAAAGGGACAGCTCATACGGACACGATCCGTGCATAGCTTGATAGAACTCCATAACATAACATAACATACGTACGTTCCGGCACGCAGGGGTTCCGTGACGTGGGGATGGGGGTCAGATTCTCTGATTGTTATTACATGTGTGCACTTCGCTACTCAATCCTATCTGCGACAACTTTGCCGAGATAACGCTACAAAGACTCATGGTTCATGAGGGACAAAATCACTGCCGACATATTTCCCACATCTAAAACCTCTTCCCTGGGACCGGGGTAGTCGTTCGCGATTGCCAAGAGTACTCAGGTCTCAATCTGGTTTCTTGGTGTGACGCACGTGGTGCTTCAAATGGGACCCCCGCCAGCGGGAAGTCGTCGCAATCCCTACTACACTACAGCGCGCCGAACGAGTTATGTGATACGATTCTCCTTTACTCTCATCCCGTCGCACAACCACCGACACATAGACGAAGCTAGCGTCGAGGCTCCAGGTCCCTCGTCGACGATGTAATCCATAAGTTGCTTCCTCACCTCCGGTTCGAGGAAAGTATCTGCATCACGGACGTATCCCGTCCATGCTGCGAAGGTATCATGTACCAGCTCCCAAGCCTCGGCGTCCTTTTGGATAGGTCCTCCGCATTCGTAGTGTAAATATGCTTGCTTCGATGACAGCGATAAGCGAGCACTCGCGCGCATCCATTGAAGTCAGCGCCATATCGATGTGAAGTTTTATTTTTCAGGTGGGCATCCGTAAACGGACACCAGAAAACAGGTTGAAAGGAATGATATGATTGGCCTTGTAATTTGCCCAAACGCTGTTGTATCAAAGGACTCCTGAGCGCCATTGCGATGCGTTGGTATCGTACTTCTTTGCGAACGGAGAATCCTGACGTGCGACTGCACTGCAACTTCATTTCGCGGCGACGTCACGCTGGAGCATGGGATCGACGATTTGTGAAACTCCATGCACATGGGCAAGATCCTGCCTTGTATATAGATTCTCACGTCACATTAATCGGCATTGAATGGCGACACCCGCGTATTGCCTGCAAACGAGCACACGCCATGATGCTACACGAAGGGCCGCCATCGCTACGGCGATTCATTCAATGAAGCAGAGAGGTCCTTATGCCGTGGAACTACAAGGTAAAGACACAGGGGCACGATCATCTTGGATGCTGGAAGAACCGGCGAATGGAAACGGCACCTTGAGTGTTGTTTACTTGTATCCGATTCATTCTATGGAACGTGCGAGTAGAGCTCTTTTGTGTAATTAACTCACTGTTAGCATTTTTTAGCCCAAGCGAATCAATCGCGTTCGGCCTTCATATCAGTCGTAAGGTTTCTTCAAGAGCTGGGTGTGCTGGGCTGAACGGTACCCAGAGAGTAGTTGAGCGGCAGCTGGTCGGCGATCGTGACACTATATGCGGATTAGTGAGTGACCCTCTGACAGCCGCGATATGTCATCACAAAAGAGAATACGTACCCGATGAGCTCGAGGAAAGCATACGGCGCGCAGGTCACGGCGACGTTGGACAGCACCTTGCCGTTGGCATCCAGGAAAGAAACAGCGGCGGTAGCATTGCCGACTGACAAGCTCATGACGTCGCCGGTCTTGTTTGCGACGGTCACGGGGCCGACAGTCAGACGGTTGAATTCTGGGATCGGGATGACGAGAGACTTCTTATCATTGACGCCAGCGACGCTGACACGCGACTTGAGTTGACTGGCGGCTACGTTAATCTTGGAGGGGCTTGCATTGCTGAAGAAGAGGTCGAATGACTTGACAACAGTGGAGAAGGTAGCGACGGTCGGGTAACGCTTCTTGACTGATTGCAGCAGGGACGGTGACACACGGAGGTATGATTGTGCTCGTGTGAGGCTGAACTTCTCGCCCGGAATGAGGACGGTTGGAAGCTGTCCACCGATAGTCAAGTCGAGTTGCTGGTTGCCGAAGGTCTGGATATGCGGAGTCAGCAAGCCGTGCTCGATGTCATTGTATATTTGCTTGGCTCTCCAAGTGTGACTGGATGTACCTGGAAGTTGCATCCGTAGGGGAAGCGGAAGAAGCCGTACTGGTCGTTGAGCGGGACAACGCCAAAGTCGGGCACGTAACCGTTTTTCGGCACTGAATTGATGGCCGAGCCCAGAACTCCTTGAGCAGCCTGCTTATCCAGAATGCTGACACCTCCGAGGATGATATCAACAGGAGGACGTTGGCAGTTCTGCGCAATCGTATCGTTAGTGGTGGTCTTCATCATGGAAGGAGAAGAGGAACCCATAATCGAGCACAATAGGTCATTGGGGCACATACTGTAGCCAACTCGCCACCAATGTTGTCGCCCTTTGCATTTTGCAGAGTGATTGACACGTGGACATCGCCAATGACGACACGCGACGGGTCAGAGCCGGTGCCAATAACGAAAGGTCCAGCGGCCGGCAGAGTACCATTGCCGACAGGGAAGCGCGAATCAATGCTGCCGTTCGCTGGGACGGGCAGGTGAGAGATCCCAGTGTACATGAGAAGGCGGGCGGGCGCGGCGTTGGTCGCAGCAAGGTAGATGCTCGTGTTGGTGGTGATCTGCGAGGCGCCAGACAGACGTGCCAAACGGACGACTTCAGCCGGGATCGTGATGTTGCCAGCAATGTCGGTCACGTAGTAGGAGCCGCCGGACACGCCGTAAGCTGCCAGGCCACCCGATGCCACGACCTCGAACGTCTGGTTGTAGGCATTGAGGAAGTCGCAGGTCACAGGCACGTGGACCTTGCCAATCTGGGCGTTGACTTGAATCGGCGGCGGCTGGTTGGGCGACTGCGCATTTGCGGCACTGGCGAAGATGGCGAATGCCAGGGCAGCGTAGGTAGCGAGCTGAGCCATGGTCGACAGATGAATTTCAACAACGATTTTTGATAATTGGGCAGCGGTGTAACAAAGTATGGACAACGCGAGGTGGGGCTCGCAGTTGTCTTGTAGATGTTGCCATTGATCAAGCTATCTTCAGCATCGGCAATTTATGATAAACACCACACAAACGCTGCAGCACCGAGGCGATTTTCAACGGTAGTACTTTTAGTGCTCCTTGCGCAGACCCAGAATGCAGCACCACGCTTAGCTCTGGTTATGTCAACATAGTGACGTACGATGTGAGGAGACATCTCCGATCTTGACGTGCGGAAATCCCTTTGCTTCATCATTGGAATAGATCGACCGAGATTTCCAGCAGTTATCTCGCTCAAGCATCGCCATCGCAAGTTGTCGCATAGACGAAAGGTCGACGACGCCACATTTCGGCTGCCATTCCGGACCTTTTTTCAAGATTTCTTGTGGAGAATATTTGATACAGCAACACCACGTGCAACACCGATTTGTACCGAGCTCACACTTCTGGACAAGACGAGCGCCTCCGAGGAGCGGAGCACTAAACAGGCAATCATGGAGCACGATCATATAACCAAGAGCGGCTGTGTCGAAGCGTACAAGACTGCAGACTCCGGAATCGCAGGACGGAACAAATGCTGCGCCGAGCCACAATTTAGGCAACAGAATTAACGAAGCGGTCTTTCATGTTTAGTGTGGGTTACCTTCTCCGCATACCCCTGGCTAATAAAGCTTAACTCTAACGCCCCGTTCTCCGGGAGAGATTGACCCATCTAGCTGTGCCGAACTATCCAACGGGGCACAAATCCCCGCGATCAATATTCGAGCACTGCAAAGGCATCTTCTTAGCGAGCGAAAACTTCACCTTGTGGAACATATGTTCTTCCAAGCAAACTCCACCCTGATCGTCAGAGGCGCTCGAAATTGCGTGGATACATAGAAGTCCTTACGGAAATCTTTCGCTGCGTCTCTGTCTAGTCATTTTATGGCAATGCGACTCTCAAGGTGATCAGCGCGTTATGCGAATGTGAAGTTTCTTAGAGCAGAGCCTGGGTAGGTACCGAGGCAAAGATTGTGACGCTTCAGCCGAAAGCGAAGCATTCGCTTTCTTCAACATGCATGACTGCCCTTTGCTGTTCAGATATGCGGTGAATCTATCCGCAAAGCCAGCATCACAGAATGGACGCGGGATCCTTTCAACGTAAGGAGGTATGTCAGCTCCAAAACAGTGCTCTAAGCTGCGCGGTAGTTGCTTCAGACCTGATCCTATTACCTTCGATTCTGCCGAGGAGAAAATCTACGTCGGAGAATGAGTCTCGCCCCGGGCGACTGCGCTCATTTGATCAGATCGGCGCGTCGTATCAGGTGGAACGATGGTAGAAACCCACGCTCACTGAAATTTGTTGTACTTGGCGGATCCAGATTGCAACCATCTGCTCACAATGTGCACTTCAGAAGGTGAACGACCAAGGGGTCGTCATATCGTTTAGTATCTTCCCGGATGGTTATAGGTATACCTCAAAGCGAACCGCTATACACGAGAAGACAAGTACTGTCCCAGAGCGGCGCGAGTCACTCAGGCTTCGTGTTACACGAATACTAAATGAAATTTGCAACACCTAGTTGGAAGAAGGCGTTGTAGGGTACATTTCTTCTTTCCTTTACGGCGCCTTAACAGATCCTTCGAACAAAAGATTCCTCTACTACGACTATATTACGTTAGTATTACCCAACTTCGCCGGTGTCTGTCCTCGAAGATATAACTACTCAAATTACACTAACAAATCTGAAGTTTTGGTAATTACCTAGGTAGGTATAGACAATAGCTCCCGCTAACCCTAGTCCCATCAGCGGGCAGACCGCCACTTTCGATAGAGTCGTCATACCTGCGCGTACTGACACAGCTTTTGGACGCACTCTAGGGTGCACTATACACACCCGGATCGGTCACATGATATTGCGCTTGGCGCAATAGACATCCACGCTGCAATGGAGACGCCTGAAGACAAGCCAGCCTACTCAGTGCTGTACGAACAACGTACGTGGACATGGGATGAGTACAAGAGCATTCACCTCGAATTCCATCCTAATGGACGTGGCCGGGTTGGTTGCTCTTGACACGGGCATGCAGTGCCACATGCACTAACATATACGAACAGGCCTGGTGGTACTGGGAGCACTCGTACACCCTCGTCGTTACGCTTGATTGGAAAGTGACGGCTACCTCACAACTGGGTACAGAAGAGTCTTTAGTGCCAAACACGCAGGCACGCCTGCTCGGGAAGTTTGATATCACGATCAAACTGAATCGAGAACCATGTGACGCAGGTCCACAGAGTGCACTCGACTGGCTCGACAGACACTTCATGGCCCTCGCCTGGAAGCCGAAGCAATTCCAGATCATAATCGAGCAAGGCGTTTTCCGCTTGCCATGTAAAGCCGGCAAGGAAATCGAAGATCTCCGGGATAAAAGCGAGGCAGACCACCTCGCTCTAGACGAGTACAGGTCTCATGGATGGTCACGATGGTTCAGACGAGAGGAAGAAGAAGCTTCTCGGCGACACCTCTATGGTTATCGTGTGATATTCGACAAATCACCATTTACCCCGCCAGAGGAGTGGGTGCGTCCATATCATCCTTTGATCACAGTCAATTACCCAGAGTCAAAGGTCGAGTTTGTTGCGTATGAATTGCCAAAGTCAGAGCAAGAACGACCGGCAATGAATGAGGCATGGCAGCGTGAAATGGTGCGTTTGTGGGAAGCGCAGCCGCCGAGCAAACCCGTGTTCCAACAGGCGATGCGGTGGAAAGAAGAGAGACGACAAATAGATAGCCCCGGGGATAAAAAGATGAGAGCGATCAGGAAACGACTCATGCAAAAGGCAGCTGAACAACAGGCGACGGTGAATCAAGGTAGCGAATCGACCGTCACGGAGGAAGCCAGAGCGGGAATTAAGACCGACGCGGCCAGAGAGGAACGAACCCAGAAAGAGGAGTAGGTATTTCATATAGTGGCACCGCTTCCTTGATTAGCTCGCAATTTCCATCAACTCGGCATTGATCTTGTTTGCGTCAAGGACCCGCTCTACCTACATTGATTGCGTGTCTGTGCAAGGCACGGTTCCAGGATCCCTAAGCACCTGCGAAGGATTACCTGACTTTCTAGCTATGTAACATATAGCAGGTTTCGTATACTAGACGACCCGTATACGTATAGTATCGGGGTAGTAATTAGTCTTAATTCGACTACTACCCTTAGTAGCCAGTACCTCTATACGCTGCTATATATACCTACTCTTATAATTCTAATTACTCGATCTAAGAGTAGCGGAAAGAACTAGCGCGCTTGAACGCGAAGAGATAAGAACTCCGGCGTTCCGTAGGTATACGTCTATAGTTACACGAAGAAATCTTTGGTTTCATTCGTCATAGAGGTGACATGTATAAGATACGCCTTCTAGATCGCTCCTCGAGACTAAATCACATCGCATTCGCGAAGCAACAGTATGCCATATGGGAGAGATAAAGAAGCGTACGTGCATGCGCGTTCTACACACATCACGCTTTCTGTTCAATGTCTACCGTCCGCGCGGCCCTTGATCTGGGCGGAGCGTGTGTATGATCCCCACTCGTGGGCAGGAAAGGACGTCGAGGCAGCAAAATTGGCTATGTGGATACTGCAGGAGCGAGCAGACGAATCAGGCTGGAAGGTCAAAGAATGTTTGCCGTGGGCGGAGCGAGTCCACAGCTACTATACCGTGATCGGTAAGGACTCCCTCATCGCAAAATTTCTACGAAAATTACTTTGACCCGTTCAAATGCCGCCGAGAAAACTTGGATCTCTCCACTACTATGACCTTTCGCGAATTCGAATATGCCGCCGCCGAATTAGTTCCCCAAACGTGTGGCATCGAGACTTGCCTCTCAAAATTGCCGGAAGGGGCCACGAAGTATGTTTTCAGCGCAATTTGCCTTATCAATTAACTTGGACGAGACAAAAGGGCGATTACAATTTTAAGAGTTACAGTACGAATCAGGAGAGCTGGAGCGCCACATTGTAATTGATGCAGGGTCCCCCGGGAAGGATAATTATTGTTTATCGCTTCGGCAAAGGAGGCAAAGATCAACAATCGTCCCAATCTATTATTTAATGAGCAAATGATTATCTCCGGGTCTTCAAGGGTTCGTATTTATCCGAAGAGCCAGTTGCGTGTCAGGCATAGGAGACGAGGAAAAACGACCTCGCTGCGTCAAGACGAGATCCTTTCCTTCTTATCTTTGCTGACTTCATTCATTCATCACATCCGAGACCACTCGAAACCGCATATCAGATTGCTTGGATTTTTTGCACGTCTCATTGGCTTCAAGCGGCTTTTTCATATCGAAATACATCAAGTTCAATTGCGACGTATCACATGAGTTATGATTATGGTGTAGTCGTTAACGCGGTTTTGCTTCCGATAGGAACGTTAGACCGTGTAAGCTACAGTAGATGAATGGGCATAAAGTCCATATTTTGCTCCCACACATGCCTGTAACCCTTCCATCACAACTGACGACCTGTGTAGAGGATATTCAGCTTTGTCAGGATCTTGAAATACTTTCTACCGCGTTTAACGGGGAGTTGATTGTGCCTCCAAGCCTCGCCATCCTGTGTCGAGCTCCGCGCGGGCTGAATTCGTGCTCTACTTTGGCTGTCCTAGCATCAGAAATCAACCTTGCGTTCTGCGTTGACTTGTCAAGCATTCTTTGCTTCGCTGTCGGGTATTAACGATGGCGTAAAGGTGCAACATTACTTAAGGAAATTGCAGTACACTGGGACAAAAGGGGCAGGAATGTACGAATATCTAGGGCCTTCTACATCCATCAGCTAGAAGACGACTCTTGAGAGTGAACTGCTCGTGTTATCTCTTCAATCGTATCCTTGTGGCTTGGTCAGCTATGACGATGATAGACTTTCATGGTTTCCATACTTTGAAGGATCTCCGGCGATGCCACCCGAGCTTTGTTCGGGCTCTAGAAGGATTGCCGATTTGATAGTTCGACCGATGGCGACCAGCATAGGCTTTTGCATCTATTCGGACGATAACGGCGCCGGTTGCGGCATTCAGACCTCTCTCCTCAACCCCGGAGCCTGTCCACCTGCATTATTGAACCATTTGATCAGTTTGATTTGATAGACCTGCGCATCAAGCTGTTTCCTTACTCGACGTGAATCCCAAGAGTCGCGAAAGCTGTCTCAAGAAGATCTCTCATAGTGTGTCCTTCACCACTAGCGACTATGTAGTCGTCCGGAACCTCTGCTTGCAATGCCAGCCACATGACCTCGATAGCATCCTCTGCATGACCCCAGTCTCGTGTCAGGTGTAGGTCCCCTACAGCTAGGAACGGTTCTTTTCCCAAGACTATTCGACTAACAGCTGTCGTCAGCTTGCGGGTAGTAGAATTGGGACCTACACAGCGCAAGTCAGCTTAGTCTGATAGCAAATTGGACAGGGTGATGCGGACGTCTTCGATCGGACTCTTGATTGAATAGAATTGCTGTGACTGCATACATGTCGTACATGGTACGATAGTTCTGAAGGATCCAGTACGCTGAGGCTTTCGATGTTCCGTACGGTGTGCGCGGGCGTATCGGGGTCTGCTCATCGATCGGCAGATGCTCAGCTGACCCAAACATCTCGGATGACCCTGCCTGATACACAATTTGGAGTGAGCGAGGTTGAGAGATATTGGATCTAAGCGGCAGCACTTGCGTTGAGCAGTCGGCACTGAGCTGCGTCTCCCGTCGCCCGGATAGCATCCAGGATGCGCACGACGCCCAGTGAGTTGCTGTCGAGCGTCGCTTGGGCTTCGTTCCATGAGGCGAACACACCGGATTGTGCGGCGAGGTTATAGACCTCTTGAGGTCGCACTTCTCGAATGATCTTGTCGATGCTATTGGCGTCAAGCATATCTCCAACGTGCAGTACAACTTGCGAAAGACTCCCAGATCTCATAGGATCGAACATCAGCCAAACATTTTCCCGCGAGACGAGGACGACAAACATACAATTGCATCGTGTTCAGGTCACGAACGAGTCCATGAACTTCATATCCTTTTGCCAACAAGAACTCGGCCAGAATGAGGCCGAGCTGGCCCGATACTCCTGGCATATGGCGTCAGAAAGTGCGTCACACTGAGTCCTGCTACACATCATTGCGCACCAGTAATGACTGCTCGCTTCCTCTGCAACATTGCACCAGCGTTCGCGGCTCAGTGTGCCTATAGTGAAGAGCAACGTAGGACGATGGAAGGCCGCAACAACAATAAGGACCAGCTTAAGTACCCTCACGAGATTATCATCGTCGGGCAATGTGCAGGAAATTGAGTGGTCTGAGGCGCGGAGTCGGGCGTCACCCCCGCCAAGAGGGGTGCGAATGCTCGTGTGCGATGATTTCCCAGCGAGGCTGTGTGGGCGCGACTTCCGTTTTTCTCTCGTGACCCTGGCATGCAACAATACCAAATAAATTAAACGCGAAATATTCGCCTTTCTCACCTATGAATCAAGATATGGATTAAGACAGTGTCATGCTACGTCAAATGGACCTTCAGCCTATCGCATAGCAAGTGCACTTGGGGAACGGGAGACACATCCGTCGTGGGAGCAATTCAGATACGTGTGCGGCGAGCTAATTCAGGAAATTAGATACATCTCGTCCATACCGCTCGTCGCGTTATGCTCCCGGACGGCTTCTCCAGACATGATGCCGTCGCTGTAAACATCCCCTACAAGCGCGTATTCCGATTGTGTGCGCGGGCGAAGCGCCACTGGGACAGGAGATCCATAAAGGATGGCCATGATATCTCCGTGCCGCAGCATTCTCGGACCTAGACCGAGATGACCAGTATCAGTGCGGAACAGGCGACGATTCCGTGTCCATCGTGTGAGCGCCTCGTGATAGGCGCCTCCTAAGCATAGAGCCGGGTCGTCCTGCAATGCGTGCAACGAAGGGACCGTGGTTGTGGTCTGTAGATGTGCCCACATGGCTGCGAAGCCCTCAATGCTTCGACGGGCGCCGATGGCAGTCCGTTGATGATTGTGTCCCGCGACCAAGGTCCGCTCCAGCCTAGTGGTTTTCGCACCCCTCCGGTCATTCATCTCGCGCGCGGCAGAGAGCAGAGCGTAAAGCTTGTCGTGGTCGAGAATCGTTTCCAGGTCGAAAACTTCGGTGACTTCGACCACCGAGCCAAGCCGGAAGCCGCAAGCTTTCAATTGATAAAGTGGTGTATCGCCGCATGATTCGATACGCCAAACAGATTCGCCTGAAGCTGCAAATCCGGAGAAGTTGAAAGGAAGATGATCGACCATGATATCTTGCTTTCGATGATATTTAGGAACCCAGCTAGGCATCTCGACACCATCGACCTCGTGCGAGGATCGATGGCTCACATACATCAGCATCGACAGCTGGCCTGACTCTTCGATTATCAGCTTTGAGACGTCACTCATCACCTCTTTGACAGGCCGATTGTAGTCCGGAAGCAGTCGCGTCGGCAGTGCTCGTGAGCCGAGAAGAAACTTTTGATACATCCCCAAGATCCCGTCTACCATCCGAAAGTCAGCATAATCTGGACCTTCGATCATGACATTCTAGTCGTGGCCTTACAGACGTGATCGACATCGCGTGAGCTATCATACTGCCGGAGAGTGTGCAACATCCATTGCAACTTAGTCTCCAAACGGAATTCTTTGGCGAAAAGGGCGTCCGAGTAAGACGCGACATGCACAGCCCGAGCAAGACCTAGATGACCCGTCAAGCTGCTCGGAGAGGTCTTGGACTTGTTCCACAGCCAGATAGCGGATTTCAAAAGACAATCCATCGGGAGCGTGTATGATCCGCAGTGACAAACACTGCGTTGCGAGAGCGCAACTTCTTGAACCACCCTTGACACGCACTAGTTAACATTGCCTCGAAGCTAGCGTTACGGTGCTCAAGCAAGTCGAAGAGGAACTTACCACAGCCGCGAGAACCAAGGGCGATGAAACAGTCGAGCCATAGCCTCAGTATCAACCTTAATGGAAGACGCCTCCCCATACACGCTCCACCAGCCCGGCCAAACCGTCTCTTTGAACGTCCGGAAATTATCTGTTCTTACCTGCGCCTCCTTGTAAAGATCACGGAATTCTTGGAACGTCTGGCCGATAGATTCGCCGTCTTCTTCGCCGATCCACACGAGGCATTGGGTGGCACGAGAGTAGATATCGCACATCAGTGCGACCTGGTAGTTGCGATCATCTTTATCCCCCTGGTCGATGCAAATGGAATCGATCCAGAGAACGCGGACCTGTTGAGCATCGCGCATGCGGCGAAGCACATGCTCCGTGCTGGCAGGCACATCCAAGGGTTGTTCGTTGACCAACACGGATCCGCGGACACTACTATCGCCCCACACATAGGAGATGGTCTCGTAGGACGGCAAGGGGGTCCGCAAGAGCGATAGGGGCGTCAGTCTACATCGGATGTCGTCGTCGGGCAAGCCTGGTTCCACGGCGAGTAATCGCGTTTCTTTGCCGGCATGATCCAGTGCGGTATAGATTGGCAGGAGATCTTTCAGAGTCACGGATCCAGCATAGCCACTGTCAGCCCTCCAGATATGATGTTGCTCCCGTTTGTCCGACATGGCTAGAAATGGGTGACCGCTGTAAGGTGCGGATGCGATTCCTGCTTGAAAGGACAGCTTGATGAGCTCTGCTCTTTATGGCTTGCGAGCCTTCATATTTAGACGATGGGCGGTACGGTCCACCTCACCGGTCGCAAAGTATAAGATACTCAACGCGAGGCCGCCATGCGCCACACAACATTGTACCCAGGCTGGAGAACATACATGTATCTTGACAAGATAGGGTCAGGTGATAGTCATCGCTGTTTCGCTCCAATGAGTACCGTTCGTGCACGCCACGTGCTGCACATGCTCTGCCTGGATGCAGCCGGCCAGAACGTACTTGCAGTCTGTGGCTTATCTACGAAGTCCGCTTATCGGCCGCCCTGTCCGCTCTCATGTGAGGCCGCAACAGCGTGCTATCATCTCTGGAATTCTTGCTGCTCCAGGTGACTGCTCCTTCTCCAAGATCCATGAAGAGACGCCGAGTTGACGTAGTAGTTCAGAGGCAGGCATTTAAGAATCCGCAAGTGCGGGCAACGGCGTGCATCGGACACGGCATAAATGTTGAAAACGACCAACCACGTACCCTTCAAAAGCTAGCTCGCATCTTAGCCCCACGTACTATTCCACGTGCACTCATAGCATGGCATCATGGTCGCCGATCCATCAGTTCATATTGCTGCATTTCAATTGCGCAGCCACACGCGCTGCATGCGTGGCAGGGTCCGTTGGAGTCATCCCCTCGCCTAAGCCCCCATGTCTCCTCGGAATAGACATTTCGTGCGGAGGAGAGATGCTTGCATGGGCCTGCACACTCGAACGTTTTGTCAAATAAATATGCCTCTTTGCCTGTGAATCAGCGAGAACGGCTAGTAAAGTCCAGATGGAGGAGAAAGGCTAGACCGCACGGGGCAAAGCGCTGCGGGACCAAAGTTAGGTGAAACTACGAGTATCCGCCAAGTCGGACGGTACACTCCGATGACTCAGCCATTGTTTCGCCCTGCCGATGACTAATACCATGTCTGTCGGGCCCGCGTTTCATCGAGGAAGAACAATGAAGTGTCGGCTCAGCATTCAAGTTTTGATGGTGAGCGAAAGATGAGTCAGGCGCGATGACTACACGAGTATCCTCACAGAGAGATAAACAGCTAGCTAGCAATAAGCTTGTAGGAAAATCACCACGTATTTTCATTTTCGCCTTTCAAGTTCACGGATCTTCCTCATCGTCATCATCAACTTTTTCCTCTCCGGCCTTCCCTGGCTGATCCTCCTCTACCTCCGTCGTACCATCTCCCATCTTCCGAAACAAGCAATAAAACACTCCCGCGGAGATGAATGACGCGACGGCAATGCCAAGGTACATGGTCGTGAGCTATATTTCGCGGCGCGAAATGAGGAGGGAGAATTCGTCAGCTCAGGAACGTGTACAGAGGGAGGGCAGGATGGAATATACAACGTACCAGTGGATCCACCGCGAACGGACTAAAAGCCATTCCAAGCACAGCACCGGCGGCCATGGTTAGGTATAGCAAGCCTGTTGATTTGGTAAAGTCCTCATTGTCAGCGTGTGCGCTTGTTGGAAGTCGATCCGAGACCCAAGAGGGAATAAAGCATCAGGGTTTCCAAACCAACAGGAGGAAGACAGTACGATGAAACTCAAAACTTTTGTTTTTCGGAAACATACCCATCACGAAACTTTTCAACTCCTTCGGCGCCCTCGAATACGCAAATTCCAGACTGGGCACGGACGCGAAAATCTCCGACATTGCGATGAGGATGTATGCAGGGATCTGCCAGAGGATGGAAATTTCGTTGGGTCGATAGGATCCCAGGCTACCCTCTGGTGCTGAAGGAGGTGGCGGGATGAAGGCTTCGGGGCAATTTGAGGGCGAGGTGTAGCAGGGTCCTGAGGCGTAGATGCGGGATTGGATGAGGGAGGCGTAGAGGAGAGTGGCAGCGCCGAGGAGAAATCCGAGCTGTTCGAGGCAGGAGGCTGTGTTAGTTGGCTCGAGGATGGTATTGTTTGTCGGTGGGAAGGAGAAGGGTAGTTAGGGATAGTTCTTTCACGTACTGTGATTTTCTGCACTGGACTGCCGAAGCCGCGTTTGGCGAGGTAGGGGAAGATGTATTTGTCGCAGATGGGAATCATGATGATGATGATTATGGGGTCGAGGTTGGACATGATGTCGTTTGGGATGTTATGACTAGAAGCCGTTCCTATTAGAAGCGTGCACTGAGATGCTATATCATCGTATACTAGATTCGCAATCATACGCGGTGTTTGCGTATCATCGATGGGAGGGGACTGACCGTTCCATTTGACCTGCTTGAGAAACGAAGTTGTTGTTCATTTGATTGAAGGCGACCCAGTAGATCGGAAAAAAGAGCTGCAGGATTGTCAGCAATTATCGAAGGCAAAACCGAGCGACGAATGACCGACGCATGGTCACAGAGGACGGACGACGACGACGACTCACAAATACGCGACAAGCTTCCAGCGCCTTCTTCAATTCTTCCACAAACCGATCACTCCAGGGCCTTCCCGCTTTCCCTCTTCCACCGCCTGACTTGGCCGCCTCAAAGGTGCCCGTCCGAACACGGATCCAGATGATTCTCAGGGCATCGAATACAGGCGATCCCGTCGGTCTCTTGATAATGTAGTTGTTCTTCCCATATATCAGCGTGATGAGACCGATGATGAACATGGCGAAGCAGAGGAAGTAGGCTGCATAGAACCCGACGCTACTTTCGAGCGAGGTGGTGAGGATGGGAGAAAGGGAGCCGATGTTGATGCAGAGATCTAGTAGGTGGAGAGAGAGGAACACAGTCAGCGATTTTGATCGTGCGAGAGACGTTGCGGAGCAGAATGCTGATTCAGGGGCTTGGGGCAATGGCACGACTGACAGAAGATGGAAAAGATCCTGGTAATAGTCATGGGTGGATCGACGATGACTTTCTTTCCGGATCTCGTGATTCGGACGAATGGTTTCGTCTCCGTATACTGCTCAGCGATCAAAGCCGAGACATTGGCCTTGATGCCACCGCCTCCGATGCCGATGAAGATCATGGAGATGAGAAGACCCGGGAGTGCGAAGCCCGCTTCGATAAACGAAGGTAGCGACGTCACGGAGAGGATTGCAAGACCAATGATGTAGATGAGCATGCCATAAAAGATGGTATAATAACGCCCGAGATATCTGTGGAGTAAATATCAATTATAAGTCAGAAATGGAGATCTGATGGCTGTCGAAGGTTCGTGGATTGAAGCAAAGGGGGATTACATACTGATCAGCAACGACTGCAGCGAAAATCGGCATGCTTGCAAGAAAGAACATAAAGAGATTTGAAAGCGCTGTAGCGCCAACTTGACCCAGACCTAGACAAGACATTGTTCATGATCAGCAAGACCTTCTGGCAAGGGAAGTGGACTGCCATCATTCCTCCTTGAGAAATCATGTGGAAGCCCTTACCGATCGCACCCGGCAACCCATTTGGATCATGCCATTTATTCGCCATATAATTCTGAAATGGACCGACTAATCCATAGTACGCGAATCGCTCGCACAGCTCGACGACGGCGATGAGGAACGCCGACCAGGGCAAGTCATCTGCGACGCGTCCCAGCGTCTTCAACTCGATTTCTGTCGGGTATTGTCGAGACGAATAATCGCGTGCTTCCGCTGATGCATCGAACTCAAAGTCATCGGGATTTCTCTGGGATGAAGATCCTGCTGATTCTGTAGCGCGGTTGGTGAGATCTCCTAATTCGTGTCCGTCGACTCGGGTGTATCCTCCGCGGAGGTCGGTCGGGGCGCGAGGTTGTGGGAGAATTCGTGTGACGGAGGAAAGCCATGATGGTCGGGTTGATCTGTTCATGCTTGGAAGGGAGCGATCGGCTTCGCTGAACTTCTTGATGTATCCTCGTCAGGGTGATGTCGCGTGCGGAGAATGATCAATGACTTCGGGATTAAAATGTGAAGGGTCGGTCACGCTCCATGGATCCGCTCGATTTCGGAATTTCACTCGAGGCTCAGCATTATTATAACTTAGGACTCTTGATCCTAAAACATTGACATTTCATCGATGGTGCTGCAATTTCTCGAGATCTTGAAGATGCCGATGCCCACAGTCGGCATGCATAGAGAGAGAGAGATGCCCACTGAGCGTGCACAGACATTTCCAAATATAGCAGGGCTGGAGGTGTTCATGGCACTTAGGGTTACATAACCCTGGGTTTCTATCTCCCGAATACTTCAACATGAGTTAATGAGAAGGCCATCGAGAATGCCGTTTGTGTCTTTGTGATTAGGTGATGCTCTGATTTGGTCTGTATAGCAGTCCTGATAGATGTCTTGACTTGTATAAGTCTGTTGTACCTCGTCTACCCGTCACCGGTCCGTGTAGCTTCATTTTGGTCATTGGCTATGACAAATGAAGCTACACAGGCAAATCTCGCGGGTTGTGGAAGATGCTCTATACGATTTCTCAATACTAGGCATCTAGAAGAACAATCTTGATTCATTATACACCTGCCATTATCATGTGCGCTTGCACGCATGAAGTTTATTGAAGTACCTCAAAGGAGCGCCTCCAACGCCACGACGATGAACACTATGACAACTGTCTCGCCTACCTCACATGTTGACTTCGCCTCGCTACACACTGCGGAGAATCGCCCGCTTTTGAAAGATGCCCGTCGTGAACTCCATCGTAGATTACAGAAGGGTGTTGATTATGCGCCGACACAGCGCCATCTTCTCGAGAGATATCGGCAACTAATATTGTATCCCGTAGCTGGGGACAAGACTCAACGATGCCAGAAAGCGGTGACCACCGGGACCAGTCCTATTGACAACCCATCCACATGTAGATGTGCATGTGTCGCGTGAAAGGACAGGGGGCGACAAAGCGCAGGAGAAAACAAATGGACACGCGACCAGATACTCAATGTGGGCATCGAGCATGCATTGCGCCCACCGCATATCCCGTCACGTTTGGCGTGAAAGCCACCATACGTCTACCACTATCACTGCGAGGAAGCTTGGTTGTGGATCCGGTCTCTTCTTGTCCACACCGTACTAGAGCAGTACCAAAGCTGGGGGATTTCGGTACCTTAAAACTCGACTAGGACCCGCAGGTTACCGCCTTGCTGCCCAAGTTGGGTAGTTGAGCACACGACCACTTTCCTCTGATCCACCGTTTGGAAGTTTTCCGTTTTCATTTTCGTCGTCCATCAGACGTGGTTTGAACACACACCCACGACGGAGGACATCTGATCAGGAAGGAGGCACATCACGCGGAGGTATCGTCTCAAAGAGATATCTGTCGTGGCACAGTGAGGTGGCAGGATGGTACTGCCTTGGTACTGTCACGATGAGACGATAATTCCGAGCTTTTGACCATGACGGCGAGCAGCCGACGATGTGCCATAGGCGAGGATTATTTGAACGTGGTCTTTGCCCACCATCCACCTACGAACTTGCCGCCAATCTCGATCTGTGAGGACGGATGGCTCTGAAGTTTATCTTCCGTGATGCAAATATTCATCATGTGGCTGTTTGGTTATCGCTGGCGCGAGGAATAGTCGTCTCGTCCATTTCGAGGGTGGAAAAAGATACGGGAGGCCGTTCGAGTCATCAGCCAAAGTATGCCGGAGCTGCGGCGGTCAATGCCATCATCGCTGCGACACCGAGGTGATGGAGGAGAACGATTCGAAGAGCGCAATTTGTCTGCAGCATCTGCCTCCTCGTCGCTCGTGATACGACGCAGAGATCTGCCGTGTCCTTCTTAGAGTAGGATGAGATCTGGAGGGACGCTGTACGCGGCGGCAGTGCACCATTTACAACGGCGAGTACCTGGCGAGTAAACTAATGAATACCTGATTGAGCCGTCGATGCCGCGGGAGTTAAACAAGTCCCACTTCCCTAGGTCTGTAGAACCAACGTCATCGTGGTGTTCGACGTGCAAGTGGAGCATCTAGCACAGACGTTTGCTGGCTGATCAAGAATTGGCTTTGATACCTGCTGGCAGCGATCTGAACCATGTATAATTCCTCTCGAATGTAAATCTTCCATCCCACCGACATCACCAGACCATCGTCTGCGCGTGGATCCAGAGAGAGAAATTTTCCTATCCTCCTCTCACCACTTCCGCCAACACCACCGCCGCCAATCGCCGCCCTATCCCATCTGTCCCATCTCTACCACCCAATCGCATACTCGTGCGCATTCTCACTACTGTACAACTATCCATCTCAGTCGGCAGAGCAGCTACTGTATTCCGCCGTCTCTTCCATTCTCTTTGCCGCTTGCCGCTTGCCGACCGACCACTACAGAACCAACACCACCACCACCAGCACAATCTCCATCACCGCTTTCACCTCTCCTCCGCCTTGGCTGCTGCTTGGTCGTGCAGATTCGCGCGTGTACACTACCGCCACCACCACTGCCACACGACCGCTCACGACCCGTCACCCTTCCGACTCCCGTTCCTGGATCCCCATCTCTCGTGTACCCAGTCATCCTTTGACACGCACGCGTGGGGGCTGCCATCACACACACCGACCTATTGCTTAATCTCTACCCGCCAGTCATGGCTGCAGCTCCGCGCGAGAACCTGCAAAAGGTCGCTGGTCCCGATTCCATGGCCATGCCTGCTCCTCAACAATCCTCTAATGCCTCTTCTTCTGTGCCTGCTGTCGCCGGTGCCAGCTCGACTGCAGCAGCAAGTTCCTCACACATCCCTCCTGCCCTCGCTGATGCCACTTCGTCGACGGCGCCCGCGAAGAAGAAGCGTCACCGTGCCGGGAGAAGGCACAAAAAGAGCCGGAAGTTGAGCATCATCGCTCCTTCTGAGGATACCGAAAGTCAGATGGATACTACCGAGCGTCCCGGGCTGCTGCACCTTTCTCGCGAGACCATACAGCAGGCCAACCTGGATCGCCTGAGGACCCGCAAGGGTAGCAGCACCAGCATGGAGAGTGAAGCTCTGCTGGATCATCGTTACCAGGGACCGGCTCGATCGCGAGGCTATAGCAACCATCAGAACTACCTGCGAAACAATCGATCACAGCCCCGGACGCCGGACGTCGCTGGTTCGCGGTCGGCCACGTTTGGCAAGTCATCCTACATCTCGTCGCGAGGACCCGAAGTCGCAATCAGTGATGGAGAAGACGACGATGCTCCCGATGCCAACGACCGGACGCCTTTGCTACGGCAGCAGAACCGGAAATACTCCAAACCTGCCCTTACCCGAAACAGCAGTGCCCGGAATCATCGTCGGGAATCAGCTCATTCCAAAGCGTCATCACGGCGGCGGGTCAACCTTTCATCGAGTCAGAATGCTTCGGAAGAAATCCGCGATGTCAACAACCCCCCTTCCATGCCTGGCTCACCCACCCTGGGATCTTACACCGATCCATTCTTTCCTGACATTCCTGCCGACCTCGGCGATCGCGGCAGAGATGTCATAATCAACATTGAGGGAGGAAATGCCCATCGCTATTCTAGCAATGGTCCGGATGGTCTCCGCCGACGAGCAACTACTGGTGACATTGCCGGACTGGATGTTTGCTTCCCGGCAGATGAAGAGTCGGAATACGGTGAAGGGGAGTATGATCATGGATATGGCGGGGAAGATCACCACTCACATCATTCACAAACTCGACGTCGACGCCGCCGGAACAAGGAGTGGCCAAATTTTGAAATTCTGGAAGATTGGGTGCGCGAGGAGAAAGAGATGCGAACAGAACAAGAGACGCTTCGGACGAAGAAAATCATCGAGTCGACCATGTTTGGTGGACGACTGCGGCCGAGGACCTTCACGAACTGGCGTGCAGAGGAGGACAATTCTTTCCGATTTGCATACTTCAGCGAGATTTTCGACACCACCATCCACGCTCAGAATATCAGCAACCTTCTCGATGACGGGAATTACACTTTTCAGGAGCTCTTCAAGCCAGAATTTCCCGACGAGAGCGAATCCAGCGAATCCGAAGAGGATGAAAAAGACTTTCATCTGATGGGGCATCGTTCGCCGCCAGTCTCCGTCAATCGCTCGCTCCTAACCTCGAACCCTCCGTCAGGGCAGGACACTCCCAAACCAAACGGCAAGAAAACATCGAGCAAGCGATACGGCCGGCGACCCACTTTCTGGCTCGATGTGCGCCAACCCACGCCTGCCGAGATGCAAGTCCTGCAAGACGCCTTCGGAATTCATCGCCTCACTACTGAAGACATCATGACCCAAGACCCACGCGACAAGCTCGAACTCTTCCAACATTACTACTTCCTCAACTACCGCACATTCGAGCAAGACAAAGAGAGTGAAAACTACATGCAACCTATCAATTTGTCCATGGTCGTTTTCCAAGAAGGCGTCATTTCCTTTCATCACTCCATGATTCCTCACCCGAACAACGTCCGCCGCCGCATTCGGCAATTGCGTGATTACGGCGCAATTCCCTATGCCGATTGGATCAGCTACGCCCTTGTCGATGACGTTACCGATGCATATCAGCCCATTGTCACGCAGACTGAACAAGACGTTGACGAGATTGACGAGGAGATTCTGTACATGCACCGCGCTGCAGTCGTCGACTCGACTAAACAGAATGCTCAGCAAAACGGCAAGCCCGCTGCTCCTGCACCCCGCCGCCGTCGGCGTCATCCTCGCAAGGGTTGGCGAGCATGGCGTATCTGGCGCTGGCTGCAAGGCATCTTCGACATGTTCTACGCCATCTTCTCTTTCATCTTCTTCTGCTTGTATTTCGTCCTCTTTAAAGCCTGGAAAAACATCCTGGACGACCTCTTCTTCGCCAGTCCAGACAACTGCGCGCACGATTCCGACTGCGAGGACTCCGACGATGAGGGCAAGAAGTCGTCCTCGACGGACGACGGTAATTCGGCCTCCGCCGGTGCAGAGGTCCTCCGTCGGGTCGGCGAGACGAGGAAAGATGTCATGACGCTCTATCGCCTCCTCGGCGCGAAGGCCGATGTCGTCAAGAGCTTCGCCAAACGATGTAATGAAGTCTCGAGGGTCGGTGCACCCCGCGCGGACATCGGGATGTACCTCTCCGACATTCACGATCACGTCGTCACCATGAGCGGAAATCTGACCCATTATGAGAGGTAAGTTCGAAGTTCCGCCAACCCCTCCTTCGCCTCTGGCTGGATCTATGTGAACGGAGTGTTGCTAACACGATTCCTGTCAATCTTTACTATAGCTTGCTCTCCCGCGCCCATAGCAATTACGTCGCTCAGATCAACATCCGCATGAACGAACGCGCGGAGCAAAACGCCGACGTCCTCGGCAAATTGACCGTCCTCGGCACGATCGTACTGCCTATGAACATAATAACTGGAATGGTAATTCTATTCCCCCGCCCTGCTCCCATTTCACCGAGAACAAAATAGGAAAAAAACATGTTTATACGAAGTGAACTCCTTTCACTGACTCTATTTATTACTTTTAGTGGGGAATGAACGTCTGGGTCCCTGGCCAGGAATACGAAGGCGATCTCACCTGGTTTTGGTGCATCACCGGCGGTCTCGTCATGTTTGGCGTTACGTGCTATTTCATCGCCAAGAGAGTCTATGGCATCGTCTGATTTGGCATTTTCTTCTGGGACTGACGCATAGAGGGATGTAGAGTTGGGGCGTTTTTGGATATAGATTGCGCGCGAGCGAGAGGCAAGGGAAAAGAAACAAGGGAGGGAATGATTGGAGAGATTCATCGGCATCGCCATCGTTCGGCGTCGTCGTTCGCGTTCCCATCTACACTCCTAAGGAAATGGCTCATCTTTAGTCTCTCTCTTGTCATCGCGGAGGGCATTATTTGGGTCATCGGCTTCTTATTACATTATAGGATGATGGCCTTGTTACATAGCGGAGGGGAAGGCATTGATTGGTAGTACACTCTAGATGGAACATATGGGGAAAACGGGTAATGAGCTTGATGAAAACGATGACGGATCATCATTCTTTTCTCTCTCTCTCTCTCTCGCTCGTTCTCTCTCGATATCTCTCTCTGTTCCTGCCCGGCAGGAGGGCGGTGGGGCTTTGATATGTACGACCTTTGCGTTTAATGCGGATTGGATAGATCAGATATGTGAGATTGGATAGATCAGATATGTGATGAGTCATCCGAGTGCCTCCATCTTTGATACGCGATGGAAGTAGGTCTCGCGGTGTCAGAGATCAACGGATATGGCCTTTTCCCAGGGGCGTTTCCTGAAAACGGACAGGAGACTTTTTCTCAAAGGAAATGGCCGTACTGCTGTCAGGACACAAATGCCGTGGTAGACGTGAAAGCATTACATTATATTTACAAACTGATCGACTGTGCAGCGGACGTTGGCGATGGCAACAACAGCCGGGAAGCCTTAGAAGTCCGTGAAAGATGCTTCGTATGCCTACACGCAAGCAAATCGCGCTTGCCAGTTCCCGCTCACCAAACAATCGCGGCGGAGCGTTTGCCGTCAACATTCAAGAAGGGCGGGCCTCAGTCAACCTCTCCAGCGGATCTCACACCCATCCGCACTTTGCAGCAAAGCCTCCACGCGATCCAACATCCACCCAGAAGTCCAATGTTGCATCTCCATCTCATCGCTCGCGCCAAGACGTAGATCTTTCCCGAGATGACATCTGCCGGGCAGGAACATCCACTGAATGCAGCGTTCCGGGCCCGCTTGACGACAGGCCTCCGCGCAAACGTCCATGTCTTCCACGGCGTGTTGTTCAAGCTCGGACAGATCCGCAAGAAGAACGTCCTCGGGGGTTGCGAGGTCTGATATGACGAGGCGTTTATCTTTGGAGAGATTGTTCCACGAGGTGCGGTTCCAGGCGAGATGTTGGTGGACGAAGCGCTGAAAGACGTCACGGAAGAGATATGGCGGTGGGAGGAGATCCTGTCTGTTGTTCGCAGCGAAGAGACGTGAGGGGCGACGAAGTTGATGCTGCGACAGCCATTCCGTCTGGAATTGCCAGTAGGTCTCCACGTCCATGGGCGAGACGTGGTGCCAGGAGACGGCGGGCGCGCAGAGATGGCTGCGTGTCCAATCGATGCTGTTGATTGTCTCGCCTTGGATGATGGGCCATGCATGGGTTAATTGGATTCCGATGGCGGCAAAGGCTTGCGCGAGGACCTCGTCGCCGCAGCAGGAGTGGGCAGTGACGTCCTCCCAACTGGCATCGTAGAGCTTGGCGCCGACGTTGATTCTTGCGAGGACTAGACGATCAGCTGCCGCACGAGAGATGACCACGCCGCTCCCACCATGAGCGAATTGAGTATCGGTGATGATGTTCTGGGAGCCGAGATAGAGCTCTTCCGAAGAGTTCAAGGTGTTCAGCCATGAAAGGAGATTAGACCAGGACAAGCTAGTGTCAGCTTCCATCAGGACGAACCATTCGACCTCAAGAGGCGCGCTGACGAACGCATGGTGCACCATTGGGAGAAACTTCCACTTGTCAAGCATCCAGCTCTTGTGACCGCTTAATTGGCTGAAGTCTTGGCGCTCGTACTGCCATTCCTCGAGACGACGATAAAGATCAAAGTCGGGATGTTGTTCACGTAGAGAAGACGTCACGGGAGCGATGGCATCGTGAACGGGATGGTCGGCGAATGTCTGAGCAAGGTCGGAGTAGATCGTGAGGTGGTGGACACACTGAAACGTGGTGAGAAGATGAACGGGAAGCTTAGCGTGAAGTTCGGTAGATCCGGTCTTCATCATAACCATGACACGATTGGACCCGGGGAGGTCAGCACAAGCGGCTGTGGGTGATTTATTTTGATTGGGGCGAGTATTCGGAGAGGAGTGGAACAGTGTTCCCGGCTGCCACAAATCTCTAAAGATCAATATGGCGACGAACAGTAAGCAGACGACCGAAATCCGATTGACCGTGTGAGCTCGGCGCTCAATAGGTCGTGAGTAGCCCATGATGGGAAGCAACTTGTGTTCGCACCTGGTGAAGGGGCCTGAAGCAGCACACTCTCGTTACCACAACTTGCAATGAAGGCAACATATTGAGAGATCAAAGGCGATATTTAATGATTTGTTGGGGGATGTAAGTGAGGTTACTGCAAAACGGCAAGACGATGCTGAGTGTGCTTTCTGTGCGTGATGACACGAACTGGAAGGTGCATATGAGATGGCTTTCAAATAGTATTTGGTGCAAGAGCAACCCTGCCCAGCGGTGATGTCGTAATTTGTGCGTTGCAGGATAGCAAGCAGCTACCTAGGTACGCGACACGTCGGACGTCTTCCCAGCAGGCGTCGATGGGTCCTTCCAGTCGAAATATATGATCGGCTTCCAGCAATTCGAATCCGTCGCAGTCCTCAGGACATGTGATATTTGATTGTAGCGGATCGATGTAGAACGCTCGAAAGGTGTATGAATCACACACCCATGACTGTTGGGTGCTCGATTGTCATCCTCAATTGCCGGTGCTCAGTCATCTCGAATTCTATTCGGCTGGATATGCGCAGCTTCTAAACCGGCTTAAGAAGTTAGCCTGGACGCACGTACGCTGAATATCTCCTAGGCCCTCGAGCTTTGTCACTTGATACATCCAGCTGTGCAAGATGCATTGAGTAATGGAGCCGCGTCAAGCCTCAGTTGGGGTGCTGTGGGGTTTCCGAACTCCTACACGGCTTGTTTGTGTAACGCACCATCGGACGCTCCTGGTCCCGCAGTCCGAGGAAGCGTAGAGAGGCGTAGTGCAGAGTTCTGGTATGACGACGACACCGTTCATTCCTCGTTGCTAAGCTCCGATGCGTCGCTTTCTGTATCGTCCTTCTTCTTCGTTCTTTTCTTTCCCTTCGTGCCCTTTGCGGCCTTCTTTGCCTCCTTCTCCTTCTTGCGCTCCTGTTGCTCTGCCAATCTTTTTCTCTCCGGCTCACCCTTTCTGGCGAGCTCTTTTTCGATGATAAGAAACTCTTTGCTATCCGCGTCCATTCCGACGAGGCTCTCTAATAATTTGATCTCTGTTGCCCATATATTTGTATTCTCCTTCTGTTTGCCTTTTGCGTCCAATATCGGCGTTCCTTCTGCGTCTGTCTCATCGATCGGTGTTTCCAGCACCAGCGGCAAGCCTGTAAACCGAGAGTCGTTAACGAGGTTGTGAAAGGCCCGCAAACCGAGAAATCCTGTTCCGATGTTTGCATGGAGATCACGGTGCGATGCGAAAGGGGCCTTGGAGTCGTTGAGATGCACAGCGCGAAGGTATTTGAATCCTACAATATCTTCGAATTGTGACAAAGTCTCTTCGAAGGCAGCAGGAGAGCGGAGATCATATCCAGCAGCAAAAGCGTGACATGTGTCCATGCAAACGCCAATGCGAGATTTGTCCTCGACCAATGCAATGGTATCGCGGAGATCCTCGAAGGTGCTCCCCAGCACATTTCCACAAGCGGCCATATTCTCAAGGAGGGTGGTCACATTTGGAACCTCTTTGTGGGCGCGATTGATGTTCTTCGCCAGGTGAGCAATAGCCGTTTGGCGGTCATTGGAGACTGTGTTTCCAGGATGGATATTATATAGCCGGATTCCGAGCTTATCGCATCGTCGGAGGTCATCTACGTATGAGTCGTACGCCTGCTGGGTTCTTGCCGGATCAGTGTGCGCCATATTCACCAGGTATGATCCGTGTGGCACAACATGTTTGCCCTGATCATATGAATGACTTTTGCAATTTTCGTGAAAGGAATCGGCATGATCTTGGAGAATTGGAGGATTTACCCATTTGCGCTGTGATTTGAGGAACAAGGCAAAGGCATTGGCACCGATATGGACGCTATTAGCAACGGCATTGTGCACACCTAAAAGTCGGGAGGAGATAATCAGCATTTAGGCAGCACAGGGGTGGACCCAAGGCAATTGTTTCTCTATCGTTGCTGTCCAGTTCTATGGAGAGTCGTGACTGACCTCCAGCACTACTGACGTGCGCCCCAATGAAGAGATTGTGCCCAATTGTGCGCGGCAGCAACGGCATCACCTCAGCTGCTTTTTCTTCCTTTGTCTTCCTTTTACTTTTCACGCCACCTCCCACGAGCACCTTCTCTTCAGTGTCCGAGGTTTCTGCCTTGCGCTTCTTCTTTTGATCAGACCCTCTGAAAATCTCCTTCTTATTCACTGCAACCTGGCGTCGAGGCCTTGAATTCGCTGTTGTATGCGATTCGTCCACAGTCTGCTCAATCTCAATCTCTGTCTTTATTCTGCGCTTCTTTCGTGCTGGCGAGTCCGTTTCAGGGAGATTGCTTGATGCTTCATCGAGTAGACCATCGGGCGGAGGTGACAAATCTGATTCCTTCGTTTCCCGTTTTATAAACGATCGACTCTTCGGCATCATGCACTACAATAGACTTGAGCTGTAAGCAAAGGTTCAATCGTCGCTTGGTTATTTCTGGACGTTAATTGTGTGCTGGCGTCCATAGAAACGCGGCCAATGCTCTGTCGAAATTGATGACGTCGACGCGACACGCGAGGGAAATTATCCAGGCCTCAGGCACCACTATCTGATGGGCGGCCTGCCGCTTACATAACTCGCCCTTCAACTTTCAACAGCCAAAATTTCAGCCAATAGCGTGCCGTGCGCGTGCAAGATTTCCGACGACATCTCAAGGCAGCACAACGACCTCTCAAACACCTACACCTTTGTACAGATCGCTCAGTCGATCAACCCAACCGGCCAAATGGTGCGCAAACTCAAGCATCATGAGCAAAAGCTCCTCCGCAAGGTCGACTTCGTCAATTACCCTTCCGACGACCAACACCGTGCTGCTGAAGTTATACGCAAATACTCACTTACAAACCCGACCGATTACGGTTCCTACAACCGACTTGCTGGTAAATTACGACATCTCGCACATCGCATCGCGCTCCTACCGCCAGAGTCTCCATTCCGCCGGAAGCAGGAGGATTTGTTGCTTGAGAAACTACATCACATGGGTCTGCTCGGGGTTGGTGGTCAAGGAAAGGGCAAATTAAGCGACGTTGAGAAGAAAATCACCGTCTCAGCCTTTTGCCGTCGACGACTCGGGGTGGTCATGACACGTCTTCGGATGTCAGAGACTGTAAGCGCCGCCAATAAATTTATCGAGCAAGGTCACGTTCGCGTTGGAACGGAAGTGGTGACGGATTCAGCATTTTTGGTGACAAGGTAAGGCCACGCCATATTTTCGTCACAATTAGACGTGATTCTGACTATCGACAGAAATATGGAAGACTTCGTCACATGGGTGGACTCCTCCAAGATCAAACGCAACATCATGAAGTACCGCGACAAGCTGGATGATTTCGATCTGCTATGAACAACCCATCCGAATATATGTTGACAACATCTTTCACGACCAACACCAGCTCACGGGACCTCGCATCATAATCTCAGAGCTCATACTGCAGCGTAAACTGGAGAATGATCGATCGGTCGACCTTCCAGGAAAATCCAGAAATGATTGAGCTCATCCCCCAACCTACCGATCACGTGACGTCCATTGTCGGAAGAATATTAAGAGTATCCCTCACCCTGACACCCCCGCTCCACTCTCCCTTCTTCTTCCCACTTCTTCACGTCGATTCTTCTCTGGCACTGGACAGCGAGGCTTCAACCCGGAATCAGCCACCAGCCTTCATCATCTGCTTGCATCACTTGATTGAGCTTGATGACGACCTAAGAAGTTCCTTCCACCCCTTGAAGTCAGCGACGCCGCTCATTGCTGGTATCGCACGATCAGAACCTGACCGATGCTGTTCGCTTGAAGTTGGGGATCATCTAATCGCCTCAGCAAGCGTATTCATTCACCAAACATGGTCGTCATCAAGTCCGAACGTCACCATTATGGTGACGTCGCCGCCGACTCGTCTTACATAAAGACCAAGCTTGAGCGCAGTGACTCACTTGGACCCATCGACTACGTTCTTCCTTCACCTTACCCATACGAGGACTCGAGATTGAGCTGCTCAGGGAATGATGACTGGTTGAACGTATGTTAGCTATTGCGGGGTTGACCTCCTCGTCTGCTTACTGATCACACGTTGGAGCAGCTTGCCCTTTCGAGGATGCGCGACGATCAGCAGGATCATCTCCACCTCGAATGCAAATCGAAAAGTGTAAAACCTCGTGTGCGGAAGCCGAAGTCCTCTCGGCCTGCCAAGCCAAAGCTGCCCTCTTCTCAGGCGAAGTCACGGGTTTCAAGCGGCAAGTCTCCTCAGCAAAGTCTCTGCGCGACACATCCGTCGCAGTATAACACGACTTCGCTATCCGGAGATGTCCATCGCTCCGATACGTTGATGTCGTCACCACACGCCACTCGTTATCCCGCCCCACCTTCACACGACATGCCTCCCCCACTAACTTCTGACGAAGTCTACTTCGATCCAAAGCGGCTCGCAGGGTTCGGCGAACCGGCAATGACTGATCCGAGCCCGAGAATGCTGAAGATTGATACCCAATCCGCGCAGACGAATATCGTCAGCCCGATGTTTATGATTCCTTTACCTTGTGGAAGTCTGGTTGAGATGGCTGCTGTCTATGGGCCATGAGCTTTTCTCTCTTGGCCTTATTTTAATTCCCATGCGCCCGTCAAGGGATATTTTCGGGCTTCAATGGCATTTACTACAAGACTGGACTCTGATATAGACAATGGCTGGCCTAGGTTTTACAAATGAAGATGATGTGAGCGTTCATGATTGAGTCATTAAGTGCAATAGTGAGTCTTCGTAGGAGCTTCGTGCAGACGATCATATGAGCTGCACCCAATAAGATGACGCAACATACGTCTGGTACAATCTCGGATCCGACGCTCGAAACGCTGCTAATGCCAATGCCAACATGATCATACGTGTTACAAGATACAGCATTGGCGACAACAGCTTCACTATCATGAGTGGATCGCGCCAATGAAGCACAACCCGCTCAAATTGCATAAAAATTAGCATACCACAAATCGACGTCAGGGCCGCCACGCGCCAAAGCCACGATTCTACCATCGTGGGGAACTCGGCGCCCCAGGAGATCAGGTGCAGTGCGGGGAATGAGATTCCGACGAGGATGGCGATCGGCCAGAGCTTGGAGTGGTAAAGCTGAGGATCCCAGTGACCGAGGACAATTTCGGAATCCCGACGTGGCGGCTCGGGCGGCAATTGCATGGGTTTGCTGGTGGAGTTTGCATGGTCCGCCGAAAGCCTTTGTAGCTGATAATCTTCCATTTTCTGCTCGTATTCCTCCTGTGCAATACGAAATTGCTTGTCGGCGAACTGTTTCTCGAACATGCGCGGTGTGAGTGCCCAAATCGACCGTAGTGACCTTGATCGCAAGTTAGGCTCGCTATCGAAAGTGTTGTCGATGCTCAGTGCTTCGAACTCGGCGAAAACTTCAGGTCTCATGTCCTCCAGCTGGATGATCGAGGGTGTATTTATGTCCTTGGGCTTCAGCCACCAGTAGTAGTACGTGACGGCGAACAGAGGGATATATCCCAAAGTCATCGCCTCAAGCGGCGCGAGGGGCAGGTTGTGCACAGCGCGGATCAGGCATTGGCCGACGAAACCCGCGACCTGAAGGAGCGCGAACAACTTGGCAAAGGAGTCGGAGTTGCTCTTGTCTTTGATCACCTCATGCTCGAAGCCCCACTCTGCGTGATCCTCCCAGCGAAGATAATTGTTCTCAAGTAGCCATAGGAATTGATTCGGCCAAAGTACTTTCGAGCCATGTGCTGTGCGGTACCGTAGACCAAACATGCCCACGTAGAATGCTTGCTCCAGCGTCATTTGTTTCCCGATCAATTTGGCGCTCTCTTTGATCACTTGTTGTGCCTGCATATGTTCCTGGGCAGCTTCGACGGCGATGAGTTCTGGCGCGATGATGGTCTTCAGCCAGAGAGCAAGCTTGTGCCATATCCGAGACTTCTTATGGTCATCGATCCTTGGATGAATGACGATCCATGTGCAGATGGATGTTGTGACAAAGCATGTTGTGAGAAGACCCAAGGTTCCGCGGCCTGGAGATTCCAGTGTCCAGCCCACAAGAGTACTGCCATCGGAACCGCTGTTCATTGTTGAGTTCTGCCAAGTTGTTGTCGAATACTCGCTATTCATGTGACGACTTGAGCACGGAATTCAAGAGTCAAAGGTAGTTCACTCCGTAATGCACAAGTAGATGATGTTGCCTTCTTGAGCACGCGACTCTTAGCGCCGGTTGTTGTTCCGTGAATAGACTAACATGTAGCGCGGTCATTGACGGAATGGTCCCATTGATGCATTGGGCATGATCCATGCGTGAGTCAGAAAGTATATCGAAACCCTCGAGGCATGCTGCAGATGATCCGAACGCCAAATCTCTCACTTTCATCTGCAAAGGTCCATTACTCAAAATACGCGCACATTGGAGCGCCGACTGGTGGTCGATGTTATTCTGGACTCCATCTCGACCTCTTGAGATGCGTGTGACTCGATGAGTAGTTGTGGCGCCCTGCGTAGCTTTTCCGTGTAAGTGTTCTCATTTGTGATTCGGATCAGATAGTGGACCGAAATAGACCGCTGTCGCCGGTCAGCATGATAACCAGATCCTGACCATCTGCGATATGAAACGAGGTGCCGTTGATAAGCGCCGATCGGGCGCTAGGGGCCGGCGGGATTGGCCGAAAACGGGCTGTACGCGCCCGACCATTACCCTCAACAGTCGACTTGTTCATCCCACATCACCGAGTATTCCAATTTGTTGTTGGCGACAAGGAGCGTGAGACAACAGGGTCAAACCCTGCCTGACAACATCGCCAGCCGCGACAAGATGACGGCACACTCGTCATAATTGTACGCGTTGCAGTCGAGTGAGCACTCCACAAGACAATAATTTCAAACAACCACATCAGCGATGGCGCTCTGGGCAGTGAAAGCAATCGCCATCACGGTCGGCACCATTGGCGGGCTTTACATTGGTCTGGTCGCGCTTCTGACGACAGCGACATTCCAAAGTCATGTGGTTTATCTGCACGCGATCCAAATGACATGGTTCAAAGATCTCAATACACCAGAAGTCTTCGGCTTCTTACATAATCAAGTCACACCATTCCGAATCACAGCTCAGAACGGCATCGATCTCTACGCATGGCACATCCTGCCCGTCGGTCTGTATCAAAAGCATGAAAATCAACTGCTTACAGAACCTTCTGGATTTGTCTCGGACTTTGAGAACCGCCTTCCGTTCCAATTGCTACGAGATGACCCCGAAGCTCGACTTGTCGTCCATTTCCATGGAGCAGGGGGCACAGTCGGCTCTGGCTATCGATGCCCCAACTACCGAGCTCTGTCCGCTGGCGCACCGGATAAGCTTCACGTTCTGACCTTTGACTACCGAGGATTTGGTGCAAGCCCCGGAGTACCATCAGAGAAAGGCCTGATTGCCGATGCCTTGGCCGTCGTTGACTGGGCATTGCACGTCGCAAGAATCCCCGCCTCTCGTATAGTCATCTATAGCCAATCGCTGGGTACAGCCGTGAACATGGCTGTTGCAGAGCACTACGCCCTTCAGAGGACTCCCGTTGTCTTTGCTGGACACATTCTCACAGCTCCGTTCGTGGACGTAACAACCCTGGTGTCGACATACAGCGTCGCTGGTACGATTCCACTCCTCGGGCCTGTGGCTAGGTTTCCAGTCTTGCTCAATTATCTCAAGAAGTTTATTCGTGATCAATGGTCGACGAAAGATCGTATTGCGAACTACGTCCGCACCAACGAAGCCAATAACCAGGCATATCGTATCACTCTACTTCATGCTGAAGACGACTACGACATTCCATGGACACACACCCCAACGCTATTCTGGCACGCAGCCAATGCGTCGGGCAGTAGCGAATTGACCCGGGTCGAAGTTGACGAGATCAAAACAAAGACAAAATCGGATCATAAGATGGCTGGTACGATTGTGGAATGGAAGACGAGTAATGGCATCATCAGAGAGGAGATCCTCAAGTATGGCCTGCACGATGTGATTATGGGAAACCCAATCGTGTCCTTGGCCGTCATGAGGATGTTTGACGGGTCGCGAGACGGTTCAATGCTGGAAAAGGACACTCAATAAATGCGCAGATGTAGAACGAATATCCTCATATTGACGCTGCTGGTCATCAATATTTGATCTTTCCGTGATCTGAATCTCGGCTGAATATGGCGCGTCGAAGATCTTGTTCTTGCGTCGACCCTCACACATGGTGCTCGTTCGAGGCCTCCGGGTACGACTTTGCTTGGGCGTGAAGCTGTGAGACAAATACGCGCGTTGTTTATTTGCAAGTATGCTCTGACAGAAAAGAGGGTTGAATCAGGCGGGTAGGCATGCCTGTTGGAATCAAGCAACACAGAATGTCAAGATCGATGGTATGGAGCGCAGCTCGTTTGCTGATGGTCCAGCGGGAGTGCCGTTGCGAGGCTGTCAACCTGCTGCCTACCTAGGTAACCATCGACTTCAAGAGCTCAAAACTCTCCAAACATGCACAAACGCGTAGATCTCACGCGAAATTTACGTCCTGTACAAGATGACTACGTCCCCGCCTTCCACCGATGTGTCATCCACATCACAGCAAGGCCCATCGACGGCCACAAACGATGATCTCAGCGAGAGAGAACGATTCTTCTCGAGTCAGGAATATAAAGGACCGCGCCGCTTGAAGATAGCTGATGAGGAGGTGCAAGAATGGCTAGAAGCCCATAAAGATGACCCGAAGGTCAGGAATCCTCCCCAGAGGAACGTCCGTGGACCGATCTCCATCCTGCCGCCGAACCCCACGGCAGCGGACTACGAGGAACTCAAGCAGCGGAGAGTCAAGAGGGCGCAGGATTTCATTGCGCGTCAAGCCATACACGCATTCAAACTTGCAGCGGTGCAAGAAGCAGAGCGAATCGCCGACGAGGAGCGGGGACGAGAAGGAGCAGAGCAGCAAAACGTGATCCGGAGCGTGTGAACGATCGATCAGTCTCAAAGATGCTGGTTTGATAGATGGAACGTAAGGAAGCAGTAACACAATTGATCATCCAAGACAGGCAGCCTAAGTGAATCGAGCAGACGGCTTACATATGCACAAGCTGGGGAGGCTACGCATGAAAATTCATAGAATGCACCCGGAGAATTTAAGGTCATGACGCGACGAGGTCATCATCAAGGAAGCACATCTAATGATTCAGACATCTACCCATGAGCTCGATCGGACAGCCGGCATACCATGGCTCAAGAGCGATAGCTAAAAATAGATTCAGCAGGCACGGTATGCCTGCAGACGTGTGTGCGAACAATTCCATGAGGAAGGAGGAGAACGCAAAAACTTGACGAACGGGGAGTCCTCGAGACCCCGAAAATCACTTGCGGCACAGCAGAATGACGTGACCCCCCTCCTCCATTAGGTCATATACTACTGTGCCGCAATGTGCAATCCCAGATCCCAGAAATGGGTTTGCAGAGAAAGCCGAATCCCAGAAGCGCAAGTCGCTCATCCTTGTCGAGCTGACGAGCAGCACCGCATACGAGTGGCGATTGTCCCACCTCATCGACCAAAGTCCATGCACAGCGCTTCGTCGGACAGGCTGCTCCGATATCCAGGATCCTGGAACTCGACTCGGCGCTTCTCTAGAATCCGATCTGGGACTAGATCATGAGTCTTTGGAATGGACCGTACGGCGTACGTTTTACCTTATCGTAGCATAGAAGTGTGTTTCGATCTTTACACGCGTTTCGCATGACCTCCAACACAAGCAAAATTCGACATCTCGTTTCTGGATTCCAGTATGCTTCATTTGGACTTCTTTCGCTCAGTGAGAGTAAGAGGCACAGCGTTGTCTACCACGAGTCTCGGCCGAGACGTATGTAGAGAGGCGCGAGCTCTCCCTTTCACATAAATCTGACGCTCCACAACTTTCCTTCGACGCGGCCAGTTCGCTCCAACCGCCACATTCTCTCCGCTACGACCAGGAACATCAAATCGGCCTCGGTCACGATGTCATTCGCTCCGCACGACAATGGCTTTGCCCACCCACCTGAGGTCTATGTGTCATTGATATTCCCCATGCACGACGTGCAGGATGCGTTTAGAATGCCTCTTGAGACTCCGAAAGAGGTCAGCGTCCTAACCTCATGGTTTCTATCCCCGTCCGGGAATGGCGCCGAACTGACGACCTTCGGTTGGGGCCGTTGGCCAGAACTTGCCGCTTCACGCTACTTGCAGCATCTGCTCCAGTATGCCCACTATGACAGTTTCAGTCTTGATGATGGCATCGATAACTTTACAGCGATCCTCCAGGCTCATTTCATGAAGAGTCGCCCGGCAGCTGATGAAGACGACCTCGACATATCAAACACGGATGCTGTGCGCTCGACGCTGATCGGCCCGTCGACTAGAGCTGTGGAGTCTGAGAATCGAACGGGAAATTTCAAGCCCATCTCACACCTGGCACACGTATTCATTATTCCAATTTCCGCTGGCTATATGGGAAATATTCACTCGTCCCAGAGACCTCAGCGACAACTTGTATCGTTTCGATGGGCATTGGCATCTGCGAAAGACGAAGAGGTCATCGAGTCGAGTGTCTGGATGCCTAGTCTCCATGAGGCCTTGATCGATGGATGGCGCAAGAACGTCGAGCGCGACTTCTCTATCGAGTTTTGCGAGCGGCCTCGAACTGTGTGAAGGGTTGAGGGGCAGTAATAAACACGCCTACAATGCCGTCGTATCGCGTGTATGCTGTCAGTCATATGTTGCTTGTCTCACCTCGCCGCGACGTATCCTCTATCCTTCCATGTTGCTGTACACAGTTGGATAATTGCGCCAATTTTTTGATAAGCTGGAGAATGTTTGAAATACACACAAATGTGCAGATGTGATCGTTCGATCCGTGTTCCTTGACCTACTTCGTTTCTCGTCAGCGCCCAGGGGACAGTCTGGTTTAGGGTTGACTTCGCGATGTCGTCCATGCTGAATAACCTAGGTAGCGTCTTTGTCACGTGTCGTGATTATTCAGCCTCCCCAAAAGCGCCTTGCCCGATCCGAGTAAGCATCTGGGCGCATTACGTAGCCGTCCCATGTCTCTGAGTGAAACAAGGCAGCCAGTATGTTGACCAACAGATAAAGATCCTGCGAGACAACAAAATGCTTCATTGTTAACAACATCACTTCGATATCAGTGAACGATCCTCAAAGTCATGGAGGGAGAAAGACCAGCACTGCGCAAGAGCACACGGTTGCAGCGCTTCCTCCGCAACAACTTCTCGCCCGTCGTTCTCTATCCTTTCAAGGGCATCTGGTACTTCACGACACACAGATACCTCCATCCTTTGCTTCAGAGTCGACTCATTCCATTGACGCTATTATCAACATGCGTATTGGCGATTCTCTTTCTCACTCTCTACGTGCCGGTGGTGGCCTTCCTTGCACTCTTCCACTACAAAGGTTCCGCCTGGACGAATGCGACCTTCTTCATCCTCGGAATCGGCAGTCTCTTGATCGCATTACTGTTCGAAGCGTTGTTCGTCGACCACACGCAGGTCGATATCTTCGACGCAGTATTAGTAGCTGAGGGCTATGAGAATCTCGTGCGCAACCGCCGTCCAATAGGCGACAACATCGAGGAAGCGGATCCTTATCGTCGGCTGGGCATCCGCGAAAAGGGCGCGACTTATGCACCATTCTCGCTTCGTCAGATCATCGAGTTCATCATCCTTCTGCCTTTGAATTTTATACCATTCGCCGGCGTCCCTCTCTTCCTCCTCGCGACGGGGTACAGAGCAGGTCCATTCCTGAACTGGCGGTACTTCGCTCTGAAAGGCTTCGACAAGAAGCAGCGCAACGATTTCATCAAGACTAAAAAGCGAAAATGGGAGTACATGTGGTTCGGTGCGGTGCACATGCTGCTGCAGCTGATTCCAGTTCTGAGCATGTTCTTCCTCCTCACGATCGCCGTTGGAAGCGCGTTGTGGTCCGTGCATCTCGAAGAGGAGCCTCAGCGAGGCCAACCTATCCCGCAAGAAGAGGATCTACCTCAGACCTACAGCGATGATTTTGAAGATGATGTCGTCTGAGGTGCGATGCTGAGCACGGTGGATCCTCGCGCATATTGGTAGAGAAACGATAAAGTACATCATTGAAATGACAATGTCTGACACAGCCTCCCTCCAGACTCAAGCCCTAGTAATCCCAGAACGGCTGACTTAGCACGGGCGTAGATTTGGTCACCGCAAGGTTAATAGAAACATGAATGCGGTTATGGCAATACTTCGTGGAGTTTGTGGTATGCGAACCAGGACGGCGCGGCATCAGGCAGTGGATGCGACAGTGAGCTGCCTTTCCCAAATTTGGTGCATCATTGCGGCGAAATGAAGGCCTCCCTGGAGTCCAACGATGTAGGGCTGGAGGCCCTCCGATTTCTTGGGTCGAGACGGAATTCGCGTAGCATCGTCGCATCCTCTGCTTGCTGCAAGGCTGACTTCAATCTGGCTGGCAACATATGTACTCTACCACATAACATTCTTGCTTCGTCATGTCGCATGTATGATGAATGGTAGTAGATGCGCACAGGGAACAGTCAAATCGGACGGGCGGGTTGAATGATTCATTAGATACCACAATGCGCTGACCCGCAACTTTTAGCCGTGAGCTTTACCGGTTAAAGGCCAGAGTCTATTCAGCTGTCGTTTCTATTGGAATACCCTGCCCGATACGACCTGTTTCGGATCAGAAAAGTACCCTGTCTGTGCTTTCCATGATTCAGGGACTGCGCTCAGACATCACATCGTTCATCTCCTGCGCCTGGTGTTCATGTCAAATGTGCCACGTGTGAGTCATCATGTATCATTATGCGTGCAGTGCAGGCCACGAGGCCTCCGGTGCGCTTTACGCTATGCTTAGCTATTGGCTTTCAGGCCCATGAACGTTGATATCTACCTATCTACCTAGGTAGATATAATCCGTTTCATTAGTACTAGTCGCCATGAGCACCGAATTCCACCGGAAAATCGCTCTCCGCAGCCATCATCACTCTGTGTCATATCCAAAATGCGCGGGCACTGGGCCGACTACTGATGGCTGATGAGCCACATGGAGCGCGACCGGCCCGGAGTCTGGGACCGTCAGTTTTGGTTTCAACGGAAATGTTCCCTGTCAGCGTTGGCTGGTGCGGATTGTGCGGACGCGCACGCGGCTCACCACAATCATTTGGCACCTGCGAAGAGCCTGACTGTGTCGACGTTGGAGCTACTCGCAAGGCCAGCCCAATCTGCTCATTTCCGAGTTTCTATACTGCTCTTGCCCCGACGTCATGATCGTCACCGCGGTCTATGCATGTTTTGACGCGACAGCATGAGCACCTCCGCTAGAAAACGACAACCCTCCCGAGTAGGAAGCTGGGACGAAATGCGATAACTATATAGAAGCCATTCCCTCTCTGCGCCTTGAGGAAATCCCAGCAACTCGATCACTTTGCATTCTAGCAACCACATCTTGGAAATCATGTGGTCAACACTTCTCCCTTTCGTTTCTCTGCTTCCTGCTGCCGTCTACTCAGCGCCGCTCGTTTGCACTCCGAGCGATGATGGTTTCGAGCAAGGTGTGGGCTATGGCGATGTGGGACTCCGCTATCGCGAAGTGCCCCCTGGCATCTGCGAGCTCGACCCCGACGTGAAAAGCTACTCAGGCTACGCCGATATCTCGGAGCACGAGCACATCTTTTTCTGGTTTTTCGAGGCACGTAACGTGCCTCCGGAGACTGCGCCATTAACGGCATACATCAGTGGTGGCCCAGGCTACTCATCCATGTCCGAACTCTTTGCTGAAAATGGTCCTTGCCGAATAGGACCGGACGGCAAGACTCTCCACAACAACCCGTTCTCCTGGAGCAACTATAGCAACTTGATATTCATCGATCAACCGAACCATGTTGGCTTCTCATACAGCGACCTCGTACCGGGATACATGGGAACGGACAAAGACGGTGGCAATGTAGTCATCGAGGATGACTCCTGTGAGGATGACGATCCGAAGTGTGGCTGCTTCTCCAAGCCCGACGTTACTACCACAGCTAACAGCACTCTGGCCGCGGCACCGAAGTTCTGGCTAACACTACAAGCGTTCATGAGCTCTTTCCCCGAGTACTCGGAGAATGGATTCCATCTTGCGAGCGAGAGCTATGGAGGCCACTATGCCCCGGTATTCAGCAAGTACATCCAGGACCAAAATGAAGCCTGTATTCCAGGTGCACGATATATCGACCTGCAGTCGATGCTTGTCGGCAACGGATGGTATTCACCACAAATTCAACGTAAGGCATACTACGACTACGGCTATGAGCCCGGAAGTCCTTATGATCTACCCCCGATCAACAGTACGTTTAAGAAGGAGGTATATGAGAAGCTATTTGGCCCAGAAGGCTGCTTGAAACAGCTTCGAGACTGTGAAGCAACTGGCACAGACAAAGTGTGCAAAGCTGCGGACAATTACTGCGCTGCGGAAATCGACAATGCATGGACAGAAGCCACTGGACGAGACACCGAAAACGTACGCATGCTAAACGACTCGCCCTTCTCCCTACCGCACGACTTTTACGAGACATACCTCGAGCTAGATTACGTTCGAGAGGCCATCGGTGCCCTTCAAACATTCACCGTTGAAAGTCCTACGGTCGTCCAAGCCTTTGATTTGACCGGGGACGATGGACGAGAGCTCGGAATCCTGCACATCCTCGGCGAGTTGGCGGAAGCCGGCGTTAACGTTGTGCTCTACAACGGCGACGCCGATTACAACTGCAACTACCTCGGCGTCGGAGCCTCCGCCGCCGCCGTAGGTTTCCCAGGCTACGACAACGCCGGTCACGCCAAGATTCTAACCGACGACTGTGTGACTCACGCCTCGGTCAAGCAGAGTGGGCCTTTCAGCTTCGTGCGCCTCTACGAAGCAGGACACACGACGGCTTCCTACCAGCCGCTGGCCGTACTGACCATTTTCAGGAGAGCTATTCTCGGCCTGGACCTTGCTACGGGCACGACCGTAGCGACTTCTGATTATATCTCCCCTGGCCCCCTGCAGGATACTTATCGCGAGGGTAACGGCACTGTCCAGTATAAGTCGTGGCCGCATCAGAGCACCTACAATTACACTTCGAACATGCCAACGCTGGATGACTTCGAGCCGACGTGGAATGGTGGAGCTTGTGCTCGTGCTGAGGAATTGGGCCCAATTGTTAATTATTAGAGAGATTTAATTCTGCTGAGCGAGGAGATTACCTCATTTGTCCATACTTCGTATCCACAAATTGATTTCAGATGTTCGTTCGCATCCCGTGTAGAGACGTGTCACCAATCCTACGGCGCGTCACCTCCAATTTGCTGCCATGATTATGAAGATGACCTGGTTTGCGACGGAAGGCGCAGCTTGATGTGCGTTATGCGTCATGATGAAGTCTTTGGATTTTATTTTGATGTATTGATGCATGCTGGCCGCAGGGTGTTGGCTGAAGACGTCACCTGCCCCGTCTTCTAAATTTCGCCCGCAGGTCTGTGAAGGGCGGCCTCTCTCCACCGATAATCCTCCGCATTCCCTCCACTTGAGAGCGTCACCCTTGCATTAAAAACCATATACGTACTGGCTATGCGACGACAAGTTCCAGGTACATGCGCAGAGCAAAACATCCCCGCGTTGCCTCTGTACCATGTACTCGGCGTCCGGCCATCTGATGCTTTGGCCCCAAAATCACCATCGTTTTTACCCACGTACCCGGCCAAGAAATCCTTCTTGCGTCGTTCTGCAGGTAATGATTGGATATCCATGCAAGCAATATCTCGCACTGGGTGCGCGATCGGCATGAGCGTAGAGTCACCGGTCAAGCACTGCGCCTCGACGTCTTCCGCCGGAAAAGGTATGAAGAGCGTGGGCGGCCACACTCGGCCGCCATCTAAGACTCAAGGAGCGGGATATTTATCGAGAGATGAAGTCCTCTTTGCAGCCAAATGATGGCAAACTCGCGCATCCATATTCCCCGAGAGATACGCGACAACAGAGGCATGAGCTGGCTCGGTGCTCACTACATGACCCAGCATAACACAGCATATACAAGCGTGTTCCATCAGAATCATATTGTCGAAGTATAATATTTAAAGTTCGTTTAGATTTAGCATCACGCCAATGTCCGGAAATAATTCGACTCTGCCCATTATCTCCATCTCACAAAACACGACTCAAACAGGAAATAGCGCCAGCGTCAGCAGAGCCAGCCTGTTACCTGACGACCACAGGTCCTCGCCTACTCCGCAGCTGCTGCCACCGCGGCGCAGTGCAACTCATACAGGGTACTGGCAACCGAGCGATGAAGACGAGATTCTTCGCCGCAGCGCTCACAAAGATCCACGATGGACGCCGTGGAACGAGCACGACTTCGTGCAAGGACGAGTCCTTATCATCGACCACGTCAGTAATGGATCCTTGACCACGGCTGACAGCACAAGGCAGCTCATAACGCAGGTTCGAGAATACGACAACCTCAAAGGCCTACGAGATTACTACGCAAATCAGGAGCGTGTTAAAAACTCAGCCTTGCGGATTGTCCATGTTCAGAATGCAAAATGGGCGACGCCACTGTTAGTGTCAAAGTACAACATGGACCATCCCAAGAAGATGGTTGGAATGCAGTCATTTGAGCAATGGGCAAAGTACGAGAAAGCCCGCGTACGGAATGGCAAACCTGCGCCAACGGGACGAACATGGCGTCGTCAGACCGATCCATGGCGTAATATCTCGAGGACGGCGTTCGGAATTGATTATCTCAAGACATTTCAAACAAAGATTCCAGGACGACGACGCGAGCACAATGACACGTGTGCTGGTGCGAACATGATGCATTTGAATGCATATGAGGATGACATCAACCCCCACGGATATGATGTCGCAGTGCAGCGAATCTCGGTATACGTCCAGACGAGCCTGGGACCGGCATCACTCGAAACGCCCCCAGGCGTGCTTGTTGAGAATCCTTATCTCAAGCACAATTCTCATCGTGACGGAAATGGAGCAGAAGAGGGCGCATATGACCCTCTCGCCTCATTCGATAACGGCAATACAATTATTGTATTTCAAACCTCTGCATCACAGCTTCTCAACGATTGTCTCGTGAAACCCCGAAATGACATGGAGAATCGTTGGCGTCGCCTCTCGATTCACTTACGCAAAGAAGATACCGCGAACGATACAATCTTCGCTGCTCGATGTACAAATCTTATCATCACGGACATTTTCCACGAGCTACGTGAGATATGGGATTTCTTCCTAGCTCGTACGTCGGATCATATTGCGATGCTCGAAGCCAAAATCTACGACAATCCTGCCGACGAGTCTCGTGCGCCTGAACTCTGGAGAAACCAAGCAGCCTGGCTCAAAGTTGAAAAGATCATGTGGTACCAGAACGACGTCGTCCGCGAGATGAAGGAATTGCTCAAGGAGCTCTCAGAGGAATGCGATCAAGAGCTTGAACAGAATATTGATTGGTTGGCAGGGACTACCGCAGAGTACGAACGATTAACGCATAACATAACCGAAGACTTGGTGCAGCCAACGAGTAGCTTGAGCGAGTTGATGTACCGATCAGTGGCGATTCGCGACTCCAGACAATCGCTCCAGATTGGACTCTCCATGTGGCGCCTCAGCTGGATCACATTCATCTTCTTGCCGTTAACGTTCTCCGTCAGTTTCTTCGGAATGAATGTCGATATCTTCGAAGGGTTTCCGAGCATCGGGTGGTACTTTCTGACAGCTGTCGTGTTAATGATGCTAGGTGAGCTAAGATCCTCGAAAGATATGACATACCGCAATTTGTTGACGATTGGCCCTCCAGTTCTCGTCTTGTGGTTCACCGTGAAGCATTCCCTCCAGCGAGCTCGTCAGACTCCTTATGAGCGAGGTCTCTACGAACGACTTTTTGAAGAACTCGAGAATCAATATCCCAATCTTTGGTCGAGCCGAGGTGCCGCGTCCGACGTCACGCCTGAAACTCTCACAGGACGATGGAAATGGGTGCTGTTGAAGAGGTGGTTTGCACCAGAGAGGACCATTGACAACATACAATACAGTACTCTTACGGCAGGGGAAGATATGGAGCCTGTTGGCCACGTTAATAAATTGAAACGATTTCTCCTGCGGCGTTGGCTATCCCAGATCAGCACAGCAAGGCGACAGGATCAGGTCAACGTCATGGAGATGGGACTACACCATCCGCAACGGATAAATCCAGCTCCTAGTACAGCCGACCCTTTTGCTAGCGTGAACGGAGTCTATCCTGGTAGCTCCGGAGACGCTGCTATCGACTCAAAGGTTCCGGCAAGACTTCGACCAACAAGTGCGAGAGCGAAAACTACTTCTGGTCACAGCAACGAGACACCGGAAAGTCGATGGAGTAACAGCTTGATGATCGAAGAGCGTAACTTCTCCGATTCTGAGGACGCTGGGGAAGAAGGCTCCTCTAACGGTCGAAGCCCACAAATTGTGGGCATCACTGAGCGGCCGACGTCACATTGATATACCCAAACTGTTGAGCTGGCTGGTTCTTTGAAGTATCATTCAGGGTGGAAGACCGGACTGTGTAAGAAACTCAGCATGCTGTAGTTGATGATTGATTCCTCTCGGTCGCGAGTGATATTAAGGATATCAATGACGTTGGCATTCCGAGGCACTTAGGAAGGACGTCGATAACGTAGGATTGCGGCGTAATTGACTTGCCTTATCGCAAATCAGCGAGATCGATCGTCGCACCAGGCGCCTTGTGTGGGGCCCGACTCCGAGTCAACCGCCGATCTGCATCGCTCTGTTATCTCTCAATCTCTCTCGCACATGAACCCCCACCCCTCTATCTGGTGAAGAGACATCCAATGTCGTTGTGCACGTGTGCTGGTTGTATCTGCTAGTTAATAGGGCCTCCAAGGTTGCACATTGCTCCATGGTCTACCACGAACTACCGGTGCGCGACTAGTTGGTCTCTACCACACATCGCACAGCAATGTCTTGCACCGAAGACAAGGTCGCTCCCCGGGCGTTCTTCGTGCCTGGGACGGCGCTGGTGAAGAACAGCGGTGATGAAAAACAACGCACTCCATCGCCCACGCCCGACGGCGACTCCAACATTATCCTGGTGGATTACGACGAGGACGACCTGGAGAATCAAATGACTTGGTCACCAAGACGGAAATGAATGATTGTCTCCGCTCTCTCGTGGATGGGATTTGTCAGGTAAGCTGCCCTTAGGAGCCTCCTCAGGTCATGTCGTTCCCTCATCCCTGGCAATTAATGCCCGATGTCGCCAGCGTCTTCTCGACGATGACAATCGTGCCCACGACGCCACAGATATTGGCCGAGTTTCGCTCGAGTAGTTCCTTCGACAAGACCCTACTCGTTGCGATCTGGGAGTTGGGGGAAGGTATCGGGCCTCTCTTCATCGTACCGCTTTCTGAGAAGTTCGGGCGGCTCGCTGTCTTTTACATTGGCAACTTTCTCGCGCTGCGTTGCTTGGTTGGCTGCGCACTGAGCGTCAACATTCCCATGTTGGTCACATTCCGCTTCTTGACGGGCTGCTTTCTCTCGATCTTGACTCTCGGGCCGGCGATTGTCGGCGATTTCTTCGACATGGACCAAACCGGGCTATCGATGGCATTGGTCATGGGGACGCAGATGATAGCAGACTTCATCTCGCCCATCGCGGGATCCTACATTGCTGAAGATCTAGGTTGGCGATGGGCGATCTGGCTCGCCGTCATCGTTCTCGGCTTCTTCAGCCTGTCGTTGGCTTCTGTGCTGAAAGAAACGTACGCTGTTGTCTTCCTTCGACGCAAAGCGAAGCGGCTTCAGAACGGCAGCACGGGTGGCACAACGTTTCGCTCCAAACACCAAGCCCGCGTGGATGCCATCTCTGTGCTTGAAAGTATCTTGAAGCCTCTGCACATCCTTATACAGTCGCCGATCCTCACATTGACGACAACCTACATGGCCACAATCTACGCTCTCGTCTCGTTGATCATCGCGACACTCACTGAGGTTTTGCAGTCAACCTACCCTACGATCTTCTCGGTCGGCTCGATCGGACTGACGTTTCTTTCACTCGCCATCGGCAATACCATTGCTCTCACATTCTACAGTCTCACCTCCGATCACTACGTCTTACGTCAACGAAACGAGAAGAGCGACGACTTCAAGCTCGAGTCTCGTCTGGTCCATCTCCTTTTTGCAGCATTCATCTTGCCCATAGGGCTTTTGTTATATGGCTGGACTCTCGCAGGGCGTTCACCAGTATATTGTCCCCCTGATTGGAATCGGGGCTGCAGGATTTGGTATTCCCAATTATGTGAACGAAGTGATTAGGTTCCCGGTGATGATGGAAGTTCCCTTGATCGGGAGTGACAATTAGGAAAACGATGATACAGGATGTATTGTAAGTAATGTCAGGGATGATCCAAGCTACCCGGCAGTTTGTGCCGGTGTTGATCAGTAGGTATCAAATTCGATGAGACGATCATAACCCTAATCGTCGATGAATCTGCGTGGCGATGGCTTTTCGGAATCTCATCCGCTATGACAAGACCCTGCATCTGATACATGCAGGTGCGCCTTCTTATCAGGAGCCTTGCTCCGTAAATGTATCGATCAGCAATAGACTCCGAGGCCCATTGCGATTTTGGTAGATATGCTTGCTGTGCCGCAAGGATGATGAGCCCGTTGACACTTTCATATTCAAACAATTTCGGCGGAAGTGTATTTCAGCATCTTACTCATCTCAAACTGTAGCATCCTTCCATGGAAAGACTTCAAGCGCCGTTGGGAAACAGTATCGAGGACGAAATTACAAGGGGTTTATATCTACTCAACAGCGAGATGACAGCCAGCGAGAGTGAGAAGCGTGACCACACAACCATCGTACACAATGACCAGAGCAAGGAAGACAACGTGAGCGTGGCCAGAACGACGAACAAGGGGTCCAGTATCGTGGTCGAAGCAAAGGAATCAACTGCTGACACTTCGTTGGACGATGACATCGTCTATCCTACCGGTCTACGATTCTGGCTCATCATGCTTAGTGTATATGCCGTGACCATTCTCACAGCCATCGACATGAACATCGTCGCGACCGCAGTACCGGTATTGACGGACTACTTCCACACCGTTGTCAACGTCGGCTGGTATGCCACTGCCTTTCGGTTGTGTTATTGCGCCTTTCAATTCCTGTTCGGCAAAGCATATACATTGTTTCCCATCAAGCCTGTCTTCGTGCTATCCAATGTCATCTGGATCCTCGGCGTCACTCTTTGCGGCGCGGCTGCCTCACCGAATATACTCATCGCTGGGCGAGCCATTGCTGGTCTAGGGACTGCTGGTCTCATGGCTGGAAATGCTCTCATCATCGTTCGGTCCATACCTCTACATAAGCGTCCCTTGTTTCAGGGCCTGCAAGCTGGCATTGAGGGAGTCTCCGTGCTTGCTGGTCCCTTGTTGGGCGGCGTTATCACGCAGTATGTGGATTGGAGGTGGTGTTTCTACATCAATCTGCCTTTTGGAGGTGCATGTCTTATCTTCATCGTGTATTGCTTCACCGACGCCACACCACGCAAGGTCAGCGGGGGACTGTTACAGAAGCTCGTGGCACTGGACATTATCAGCAATGTACTGGTTATCACTTCTCTGACTTGCCTCTTTTTGGCGCTTGCGTGGGCAGGCACAGAGTATGCCTGGAATAGCACCACCATTATCGGACTCTTTGTCGCCTTCGCTGCCCTCTTCGTCGTGTTTGTCGTGAATCAACACAAGCGTGGAGATGCTGCAGTGCTTCCGCTCCGACTGTTCCGGCGGCGCAGTGTTGTTGCCACACTGAGTTTCGCATGTCTTCTCAACAGCGCGGGAAATGTCCTTGACTATTACTTACCAACATATTTCCAATCCGCGCATGAATACTCACCCGCCCAGAGCGGATACTTGATGATTCCCATCATTATCGGCGGAACGCTTGGCGCTATTGGACAAGGTGTTGGCACCAGTATCACAGGTCAATACGGACCATTCATGCTCGGCGCCTCTGTATCCATGTGTACCGCGTGTGGACTGATAACAACCTTCAGCCACGATACGAGTCTCGCGAAGCTCATATTGTACACGGCGTGGTCTGGCCTGAGCTACGGAAGTGGTATATGTGTCAACCCCATAGCATTGCAGGCGATACTTCCGGATCAGGACATTCCCATTGCGATGTCGACCTTGCTTTTCATGGATTCTGTCGGTCCTGCTATTGCCATCGCCATCGCTCAGGTCATCTTCACAAACGGTCTTTCGATCAATCTCGCAGGCGTTTCGGGTTTTGAAAATGTCAGCATCGGAGAAAGTGGACTCACGCAATTCGTCAAGAACGCGCAGGTTTCACAAAAGGAGGCTGTGCTTGACGCTGTCGCACAGAGCATGTCTCCCCTGTGGTATCTTGTGCTTAGTCTGGCATGTACAACGATATTCGGTGCATATTTGACAGAATGGCGTTCGCTCAAGAAAGAGGATCCTGAGACCACATGAGAGCTATGAGAGGATTTAGCTTTGTGATTGCTATCTTTAAGGGTCCCAAATGATTAAAATCGCTGGCCCGTTCATCGTCGCCTTCAGTGTGAAGCAAATGACCCAACTACACCTTCACTCCGAGGGGCAACGCCGCGTCTTCAAAGGTCGCTTCCGGTCAAGGATAAAGGAATGGTGTCCAACCAGAAATGCCTGCGATTGCGACAATTGCTCAATGTTTGTCGGCAGCTCTGCGAGCACCGCTTAATTGATCTCGGGAAATGCCGCTTCTTTCACAGAGGTTAAAGAACTTGCCCCTCCTATCAAAAAGAGCCCCAGGCGTATCAAACTCGGCGACCCGACCCAAATCCATAACCAGGATCCGATCGTAGCTATATAACGTCAATTTGACCTGACCCCGTGAGAAATGAGTGAGCGGACAGAGAATGACTTACCCTAGAATAGTGTCCAAGCGGTGCGCAATGCATATCACCGTCTTCCCTGACAAAACCGCCAACATATTAAGCTGAATGGCGCGATCGGTTTCAACATCTATTGAGCTGGTAGCCTCGTCAAAAATGACGATATTACTGTCTTTCACAAGTACTCTTGCAAAGGCCAATAGCTGCCTTTGTCCAAGAGAAAAGTTCTTGCCCTCATCGTCGACCGTCACGTCAAGGTCAACGCGCTTTTCATCCTCTGCCTCGGCGGTGACTACCCATCGTGCACGATGAAGGGCGGTCCAGAGCTCGGAGTCTGGATAATTGCCAAACGGATCCAGGTTGCTCCTGATTGTTCCCTGGAAGAGCATTGGGTCTTGAGGGATCATCGCAAGTCGTGACCTCAATGTGTCGAGTCCGATCGATCGTATGTCGACGTCATCAATCATAATACTTCCTCCACATGTTTCGGTCAGACGCAGGATCGCAGCGGCGATAGAAGATTTTCCGGCGCCTGTGCGGCCCACAATACCTACCCGCTCGCCTGCCTTGATATGTATCGATAGATCCTCGAGCACGAGCGGCAGTCCAGGCCGATACCGCATGCGAACATTGTTGAATTTGATCTCCCCCTGTTCCGGCCAGGAGTTGGGCATAGGATTTGATGGACTCGAGATCTCTTGTTCAAGATTCTTGCTGTATTGGTGAAGTCTTTCTGCCGAATTCATGTTATTCTCCACATTGACCGTCTGTCGTACGCTCAGCTGAAGTAATTGTACTATGCTAAGAACGTAGGAGAAAACAACGCCTCCTATGCTCGGGCTGACGTCGAACCGGGAGGTGACCAGAAGGATCCCAACCACGAAAACCAAAAATATTCCAACTACATCCAAGCGCAGTGAAAGCCACCGCTGTAGCGCTATACCAATGAAGGTAACACCGTTCATGGAATCTAACGCAGCCGAGACTCGGCGTTCGAAGCGTGGACTCGCGCCGTACGCACGGATAGTTATCACGCCAGTAATGGCTTCCCCAAATCGAGCGAATATCTCACTGCGGAGAACTGCGCCATGCCGCTGGATCTCCCGAGCAGATGCCCGATAGTAGGCTGCTGCGTATAGGAATAGCAAGAGAAGCAGCGCCAGCGCCAGCGCAAACCAGTGGTAATAGGCAATGATCAAGGCCAGGACTGATGTAATTGATGCACAGAGCCAGCAGAGCATCCTCAAGTTGTTGGGGAGAGTGTTGTCCAGCGTATCAACGTCTTTGGAAAATCGATTCATTATCTGACCAACAGGAGTGGTATCGAAAAAGCGGACAGGTGCTTTCATAACTCTTGCTACAGCTTTTTGTAGCATTGTGCGACTCGCTTCAGTTCCATAGAAAGAGAAAGCAATGGCGAAGCAAAATGCAAGACATGACTGCAAGGCCCCGAGTCCAACGTAGACCCCGATGTATGCTTCAGTCGTTAGCGTAAATCTCTGAGAGGTCCACCAGGACAACCAAAGACTGGTGATGATGCTGGATCCTTGAAAGCTGGCCACGACAATGAGGACGATCGGTAGATTCCATAGGGAACCAGTCGCGCGTAGTAAGTCAAGATAAACCTCCGAACGAAGTCGACCGACTGCCCGATCTTCTTCACGCGCCTTGCTTGCAGGTACCTCCACTGCGGGTTGCGGCGCTGGCTTTTCTTGAGCTTCGTCTAGTTGTTTTTCGACCGAGCCCTCGGGATGGAGCTGATTCTCGTTGTTCTTGAGCTCATTGGCCATCATTTCCTGAAATCCCGTGTCATCCGCAAGCAGCTCCTCAAATGAGCCCATCCGGTGGATCCGACCAGCGACCATCCAGATGATCCTATCTGCTCGATTGAGAAATTGGAGCTGATGTGTCACAAGTATGCGGCACTTGTGTTGCAACAAGCCGCATATCGCTTTGTCCATGATAGTTCTGCCAATATGAGCATCCACGGCAGAAAGCGGATCATCCATCAAGACGATATCTCGTCGGGAATATACTGCTCTGGCAATATTGATTCGTTGTTTTTGTCCCCCAGATAGGGTGATTCCCTTTTCGCCAACCACGGTGTTGTCTCCAGCCATCAAAATAGCAAAGTCGTCCCGCAAGGCGCACGCATCAACGACAGCGTCATACCATGCGCTCTCAAAGCTTTCGCCAAAGAGGATATTTTCCTTAACACTCGCGTCTTGTATCCAAGCCGATTGAGGTGCGAATGCTGAGCTTCCTCCGAGCGAAACATTCCCTTGAGTTTGGCGCATCTCGCCGATGAGGCCGCTCAAGAGCGAACTTTTCCCTGCACCTACTGCGCCCACAACCATAACAAGCTCTCTTCGGCGAACAGAAAACTCAATATTTTGAAGCTCGAAAGGGATCTTTGAGGGAGTATTTTCTTGAATAGTAGATGTTGCTTGCTCGTCTTCGACTGGAGTTTTAGACACTTCTCCGCCCTTCTCGCCGGCACCGAGCTTATCCTTTCTCTTTGCATCCGGGTCGCGTCCTGTGCTTACGCCAGCGTTAGGACTGTCTTTCTTGGGAGGTGCCTCACGTGTTTGAGCATCGTTACTATCCCAAGTGAACCCAGCTTGGCCGACCGTGATGGCTGACGCGTCACTATTTATGGGGCTGGGGGAGATAGCTTTGTACTCCTCGGCTTCAAAGAAATCGCTGATTCTCTTCAAGGAAGCGTTAGCGTTGATAACCTGGGTCACAGCCAGAGGTAGATACTCCAGTGGTGTCGTCAATGCATTTAAGAGCGCCAATGAGGAGAATATCCGTGCCGTATCAAATCCATGCCCGGAGTAGTTGTACGTAATGAATGTCAATATGGCAGCAAACACCGGAGTCACCAAGGCCACTGCAAGTAGCATATTCTGGATGGTGAGGACGTGGAAGATTTTCTTGACCTCGAGCGCGCGTGCTGTTGCGAGTCTGTCGAGAAAGCTAGCCTCCCAACCAAATATTTTTATATGCCGCACGCCCGTGATCATCTCCTGCGTGATTCTGACCCGACGATCCGTCAGAGTGTTGATCTCATGTCGAGCAGCCATCAGAGTCTTCATGGCGCGTCCGAGCAAAGGCGTCAATATCACCAGGAACGCGAATCCAGCGAGCGCACTGTAGCCGATATTCACGCAAAGTAGCGCCAGCGCCAGAAGAATTTGTACAGGCGCGGTCCAGCACCAGTGAATCATCTGTGAGCCTGATTCAATCCGTGACACATCTGTTGAGATAAGATTTGTTATTCGACCATCCGACCAATTCTCCTTGTCGTTTCTGCCGGCTTTGGCTCTTCCGGACAGGTTCATCGCTTTGTTGAAGATACACACGGTCACGGCGGACTTCGCTTGACCGCCCATCATCGTCGCGCGGTAGAAGAAATGGTTAGTGCACAGTGATTGCACTATTTGCATCCCGGTCAGACCAAGCACAAATCCGATTCCTCTTCCGATCGGTGGAGCCTGGCTGCCGTTCAGTTTGGCCACATATGCATCTTGAATGAATATAAGCAGATACCGAAGAACGAATGGCGAGAGTATTTGTAAGCATGCTGCGGTGAGCTGAAGAAATCCGGAAACGATGAAATCTTTCTTGAAGACCTCGAAAAGGGCCACGGTCACGGCATTCCACCGGCCGGAATCCTTCTGGCGAGCAAACAATGTCTGGCGAAACCTCTGAGCGAAGTCTTCGACACCGCGGTCAGGGTTCACCATCCAGATATCGTTAAGCTCTAAGGGACGCTGGTAACCAATTGACAATAGTGGCGACAGCCAATGGAAAATGATGATCGAGAAAGGTCCGGCATTGTGTTCTTTGGACGACCCTCGCGCCTCAGGAATATGCGGAATCGTTTTCGACTTCAGCGGATCAAGTTGATGTTTCCATTTAGCGACATTGCTACTAAGTCGACCCAACCTCGATGAACCGGGGATGATTGTTGAGCCAGGGGACGTCGAAATCTTGACGGAATTTGTCTGCGATTCCACTTCGCGAATGTCGCCTTCCTCGGAGTGATTTCTGGTGGCGGCAAAGATTTGGTGAGCATCTGAGGGTCCACCACTCGTAGGTCTTGCATCGAGACGGTCGCCGTCGTTTTCCATATGCGGAACGATACCGCCGTCAGCTGATTTGTGCTCCATCTAAGGCCACGGCTGCACGTAAACGAAAGAGAGACGAGTAGAAGCTAAGTCAGGCCATGTGCTATACGTACGCTCGCATCGGATGTACTCATGCAAAGATATGGGCTGATGCAACAGCGGAAAGACGTCAAATTGCGCGTGCGCTGAGCAGCGAACTCGAAGGTCTTACATCCACGAAATGATCAGGTCCACGAGAGTGACTGAAAACATATTGAGGAACGACCTCTGGGAAAAGACATGCACAGCCTCACCTCCAAAGACATCAAACACCTTGCAGCCTCGTGCATCAGTGCATGCAGTCGATCAAAGTTTATCCAGGCTTGCCAATGTAGATCTGCTTGACGAGTGTGTGGGTGTTCAGCATCCTGGACAAGACAGATGTGAGCGTTTCCACGCCACAAGCGCATGCAACACAACCACCGTCGGGGGTATTCACCCGGCTTCTCGCAGGGGATGGCCATCTGCGGAGGCGAATCCAACAGGGAAAGTTCTCCAATGCGTGTGAACCCCACCCACGCTGGAGACTATCAAATGCATTGATGCGGCGTAGTGATAATGAGCGGGGAAGGATGGATGGAAGTCTCTTTTGATACGACACACGTCTGCCGTTCAGTACCTTACGGACCTTGATAGCAGACGCGTGTGCGGCACAGCCCATCTTCTGTTTCCGGCGTGAAAGTCGCGTTCAAACGGTGGCATGGTGCCATGACATACGCTGTCGCAGTAGTCGTCCGCCCACCTTTGTATCGTCAGCGTACAGAGCTGCGATCAGGTATCATTCTTCGCTTCGACGACACATAAGATCCAGACCATCGCGATCAGATTCTTGACAGCGCAGCTAATTCATGAAAAGGCCTCAATTTCCGTTTCCCGTGGACTACTATACCAAGCATGACCGGATGAGAAGGAGGACTTGCTTGTCCAAATAGCTGCTCTCGGCAGGACGAAATCCATGGATCCATGGCGGAGATTAACGCTGAGTAAGCACTTGGCCAGACGTAGTTAGATGCCCTGCACCACAGGGACCAGCTCCTGAGATGGCATCATGGCGGCAATTTCGCTCCTCTAGTCCGAGCATCATGTCCGCGTCGATTCGAAAGCGATAATCACGCTCCACATAAAACGAATTCATCGGAAAGAACAACTGCTGTTCTGCACCATCTATGATCTACCATTGTCATCAGAATCAAGAACTTATCAGCTCGCAGTCATCTCGCAGATGCTGCCTGGCTACGCGGAAAACTTCATCGGTCACATAGACCGGAGCAGATGTTGGCTACGCACGGTTACGTAGAGCACGTCATAACCTCGAGGCATGCATAGCCATTTGTGACAATTCGTGGCGAAGAAGTCCGCGTCTAAAGTGTTTAGATCGAGCGGGATCTGGCCGATACCGTGTGCGCCATCAGTGCATGATAATACACGGTATTTCAGACATAGCTTTGTCAAACGCTCGAAAGGTATAAGTACGCCGGGGGATGCATTGGTCGTGTTGAATATGACGAGCCATGGCTGGCGTCCTGCTGCTTTTGTAGAATCGATGGCTGCGACGAGCACATCCCACGTCAGGAACGGGCAAAGTACACTCAACGGTATGTGTGCGCCGCGGGGAAGTCAGAGAGGTATTTGACCGTGTTGGCGAATACTTCGTAGATCGTAGCAAAAATCATGAATACTTCACAATTGCGCCGCGGCTTCCCTGCCACATTCAACGGTGGTTTTGCTCGTCATGTTTTCGTCCATCGTTTTGAATGAGGCTGCTGGCCAGACTCTCAAGATCTATGTCGGGCGGAGATTGGTCTTGAGAGATCAAAGCCCTTGGCCTGGCTGAACCGAAACCCAAAGTCGTTTACAGACACATGTGTCCCGCATTGACCTGCGTGTATGATCACTCAAACGTCGATATCGGAAGGCCGGGTATCTTCCAGATCGTCACAGGACGCGTGCTCGACCGCGGTCGTGAAGGGAACGATAAACGATCCAAGGCATGTTGCGGTTTCTCGGATTATCAACTTTACGTGCGCCAATGTCGACACGATGAAGGCCTCTAAACCCCCACAGCCCCAGCTCGATGAGACCATTTCATTCGGCTTTTGGTTTTTGTCCATACACTTACTTCATGAGACACACCACGGTAGCAATCTCGGCTCTTGCAAGAGTCTGCCTCGCATCTCTTGTGCTGTAGGTTTGCAACGTTCGAGCTGCCGGCAATCAGCTTCAACAATTCCTAACCACCCACTCTCGCACTGCTGACGAGATGAAGTGCTGAATGTGCTGAGGCAGAAAGATTGTTTCTGTTTGTTTGGTCGTGGTCCGCACTGGGCGATTTAGTGCCCGAGCGGGAGTGGAAGCGCGCGCTTCCAACGCACCTCACCTTCTTCCGACGCTTCCTTTGTTTTTCTTCTTGCCTTCACCGTCATGTTCAACTGCTCGTCAGTGCATTCCGTTATACTCCATAGTATCCGTCCCATCTTCAATGATATCGTCTGCGACCATGGCCAAATGCTGTGGTGAATTCCGCTGGTCTTGCGACGCAATACCCGGGACAAGATGAAGCCGGTCATGGTGCGACCGCCATACTAGCTTCTGAAATTCGCTTGGCCAATCAAGTGCATCGCCGAGCTACGCATTCGTCTCGCACGTTTTGGCCGAAAAACATTAGCCGCCGTGATGGACATGAATCGGAGTTCGTTCACCAACCATTCAAGTACATCCTTGTAGCCGACTTGACGACCAGCTTGACCTTCCCCGCAATCGCTCATTCCAGTGCTGTGAGCGAGCTCTTTGCCCACCTCGCCATCGTACTCCGATAGGCGCACGAGTGTGCTCAAGCCGAATTACGGGCTACATGCTTGATGCGCGGCGCGAAAGCAGTTTGATCCTGCGATGTAGATGCCTGTCGTTTGCGCTCGTGCGCAATGCTTTTCGATTGTGAGTGGCAGCGCTCCTCGCGATACATACTTCAATATGTATCAGCCTCTTTTAGCGATTTCTTGACTCTTGCATCTTTCCTATTCTTTCGACGCACGCATACATTTTTCTTTTCTTCATTAAGCAGCTGGCTGCTTTTGTACACAAGGTTCCGATTCTCCGCCCGGCTGATTCCATCAACATCCGAGGCGCACAATTCTTTCTTTGACGAGTTCCGGATTTGCGCATGTTTATGTTGTACCAAAAGTCTGAAACCGACGGCATATGACGATGGCGCACCGGATCGATCAAGCTTAAAGGAATGCGACGGCCAGGGCAAACAACCATTGTCAACAACCAAATCAATAATATTTTCAATGCTTCAGTGTCCACCGACTCCATCTTCTCACTAGCTGAGGAAACATCATTTCCGAACTTGAGCCCATGCCTTGGTCGATTCGATACTCAGCACTACTAATAACATACCTTACTCGCGGGTTCATGACTGCTGGTCGGCATGCCCGTGACCGTTTGGATGACTCTTCCCATTACCACCACTTTCGTTGACATTTCCACTGTTCGCACCACACTCGTCGTCGTATATGAATCTGTTCTTTCTTCGTCATCTCAACCGAATCCTCCCCAAAGCCCAGGTACAAGAACCTCAAGCTTGGTAGGGTATCGAACAACCACATCTACAACGACTTCATCTCCCAGCGAACTTACCAATTCGGCGACGCCCACTTCACAATTCATTCTCACATCAAATACTCATCGAACGAGTTCATTCGTTACTTCAACAGGAAATTTACAGACGATCTCAAGTTCCACAACACTAACTTCCGCTGTCACCTCTACACCCAACTCGTCTCCGATCACCGCTGATGCGTCGACCCTGCAACATCAGGCAGCTCAGGAACGGCAAAAACATGTCATAATCGGGAGTCTATGCGGCGTTATCGCTGGTCTCGTCGTCATCGGCATAGCAATATGTTTCTTCTTGCGTCGTCGACGACGTCGTCAGCGACCTAATGAGCAGAGACCTCCAAGTTTCCACTCGGAGAAAAGGAACTCTCCCAAAGCAACGCACGAAGGTGGTAATGCGATGGCACAGCCCCAGTGGAGTGAACGGACTTCAAGAGCCGCCATTCCGGGATTTTTCCACAAGAGTAACCTGTCTGCGACAACCAATGAAAGATCGGGTTCGTCCATGACGGTCGATGAGGGCCACCACATCATCCGTGAGAGCATTCAACGCTGGCCAAGACCTTATGCTCGCGGTGAGAGCCTGCGCGACAGCGTGCCATCTGGCGCGCTGCGAGTTACGAACCCGGACACAACAAGCTCGCCGCCGTCTATACCTTGTGGCTATCTTAAGACACGTGGATCATCTGGGCTCAAAGCTCTGATCGATCGGCCCAAGCCCGCATTCATTCCCGGGGCGAGTCAGCAAGATAGGAACAGTTCCGCAAGTACGGTATTCAGCCATTACAGCGATGGGAACTCGCGCGCAAGTGTTCGTTCGACGGCCTTCCAACAGCATCCACTCGCGCAGCAGATACGAATTAATTCGCCCTCGCCGGCATCTTCGTCAAGAAGCAGCGTCTCTCCAATATCGAGCGACGAGCGACTAGATTTCGATCACTCCAAGAACCTTCCTCTGAGCTTGTCCACGGATAAAGAGCCTCGACCACTCTCGTCCGGACCATCTCCCATCCAAAGGGATGCATTCCTCACAGCACCTCTTCGTCTCCCTCAGGAAAAGCCCTCCCTGGCAAGTCTGCGTACCGTGCGCCAAACGCCTCCAGAAGACCCCTTCTACCAACCATCCGCTACACCCATCAGCCCAGACAGCGTGTTCCAACTAAGCAGTCCAACGTGGTACTCTCCACCCCCAACCCAACCCCAGGATCGACAGATGTTCTCCCCGGCAGGTGAACATCCCTCACAGACCTACCGCGAAGACAACAACAGAACCAACAATGACCGCGATGGGCTCTTCTCACAGCGCAGTTCGCGATACAGTCAGATCAGTCCCATCGAGCCGCATGACCTTCCTTCACAGACCGGAACACCAAATTGGCCGCTCGTGTCCAGGCCACTGTTCACGAACGCGAGCAATCGCAGCGAGGATAGTCTTGGCGATCCCATCACCGATAGGAACTTCCTGGCGCCTCCTTCGCTGCAGCCGTCGTCGGCGACATCCTCCGTGAGGCAGAGGGAACATCATTGGGCGAGGCGCAGCGATCCGTTTGATTTGGATCGGGGGAGTCTTTGATCGTGTCGTCCAGGGAGATGCGAGGAAGGGAAACGTTGAGCAGGAAATTCTCGACTCATGAGTTGTAAACACGAAATGATACTATTTGTGATAATGATGATGCTGGTCCATGAGCTGTGGTTGTCTTGTGCGGTGCGAACAAGCAATGGGAAATGAAAATATCTGGCCGCGACAAATTTCCACAGATTTAGGGTTAGGGTTGGTACATGGGAGGGTTTGTCTTAACTCATCGATGTAATATCATGCTGTCTAGAAAACCGACCATGAACGGATTTTCAAATCTTCGCCGCGGTTCATAAGATGATTTTGTGTTCGTGTTCAAGTCTGTGGTGCTGAAGCCTGGTAAGCACTCGCCCATGAAAGATGTGACAAGGCATACACTGCCTGGGACATCAAAAGTGAACAGCGTCAAGATGTTTTCAGCACGACAACATGTCTTGTCGTCGAGCACAAGGCAATCGGGCTGGACAATTGTTCATTGATCATCATTCGTTCTGTCATTATTAAGATCATAAAAACATAGAATATCGGTCGAAATTGACTCGAGATGAGCATCAGCAAAAAGGGAAAGAAAAAATTGTGCTTGCAAGGCTCCTTGGTGTGCATCCATATCGATTCCAGCCGCACAGATTGCCAAGAGAAAGAAGCTTGTCATGTTCAGTATGGTATGAATATTCCCTTAAGCACTCTTAATCTTCAAGATGCTGATGGTGTAATCCGTAGAACTCGAGCTAGACGACGCCGCGGTGGAGTTGTCGCTCACGGCAGAGGCCGCGGAGCCGGAGGTACAGGCGAAAAGGCCTATCAATCGCGTCGCGAATTAGCCTGAACCTCATAGATACGGATGGAAGGTTTCCATCGCGATGGGATGAGGTCTGAGCTGTGAAGGCCCTTTTCACAGCGCCGAAAACACTTCGGTCAATGGATATGTGTGAGTGAGGGAACTTACCGCATTCGCTGGTGCTCACAGCGTTGGCTTCGCCATCAGAGTCGGACTGTTGTCCGCCATTGAGAAGACCGGCGAAAGGGTTTCGGTCGGACGAAGTCACGTCGTCGTCGTCACCTTGTTGGTTGGTTGGGAAGGGGAAGAGTTGTGGGACAGGGGCGGCAATAGTCAAGCCGAGGAAGATAGCGACGAGGAGAGTGAATTGCATGTTGAGCGAGTATCGATTGTGAGTCGGGATTCTTGATTGAGATAGCAAGCGAGAAATTAGAATTGTTTTGCGATGCTGAAAAGCGAGTGATGAAATTAGCGAGCGAGTACACGATGAGCTTCAGATGAACGACGGAGATTGAAGATTCCAATGGGCCTTCCACCAGACTTATATAGCTAAAACAGCAGTTATAGAAATGCAGATACGTGCGGGACCTGGATCGTGAGATCGGACATCGCGATACTGCCAGAGTCAGCATCATTCAGACATTTCTTTTGTAAAGCTTGCCAATAGCTCGTGAAGCTCGACTGCGCCTTTCGGCCGTCTTAAAAGGCACAAAAGCAATGCATTGCAGATCATCCATGCACTTGGGCTTTCACAGCTCATCGCTATTGGATATGCTCCCTCTGGAGGCCCTCTGGAGGCTCGCAAGTGCAGGACCACCGAGGCAGGCTGCAAGCCCGAGAAGTACAGAGAGACATGAGTTGCTCGCAAGATGCCGGACGATCTGCAACGATGCATAGCTGTAGCTTGATGAGGTACCTCACGACGTGACTATGATCATCGCGGTTCCTGCAGATCGGAGCGCTCATGCTGTTAGAAGATCAAACTTTGTGCCATGTGCTAAATGGTGAGCACACTACTCAACCTACTACAAAGTTATTTGAAAGTTATTCGAGCGACAATTGTGAGAGATGGTGTTCGCGTGGCTCCTCTGCTTGTTAACGTCGCTGTGACACATGGGAATGACGGCTACGACAAATACAGTAGTCGCAGAACTGATGTTGCGACGTCCTTGGCGTCTCGGGGAGCGAGCTGGCGTGGCGCCGACTTATGCACACATGCAGAGGCGTGGACGACTCGGAAGGATCGAAGCGACGGGTGGAGTGCCTGTTGCTCCTCCTCGTCGGCACATGTCGAAGATATGTGCTGATTATCGTGAAGAACAGTCATCTGAGGATCATGTAGAAAGCATCCTTGAACTTGATGAGGTGATAGCTATGACTGCACTCGGTATGGTTCACGCGAGTATGAGGGTCCATCGGAGGGAGAGTATGTGCATTGAAGGAAGCAAAGTAGGTGTGTAAGTGACGACGATTCCGATGAATTCAATGTTCGTTTCTCCGACCTCCGTTCGCGCCCGTTGCCAAGACACATGGTCGGTCGGCCCGCCGAGGGACCCCGCTTTGGCCAATCGTGTTGCTAAGATTGACCTCACTCCACCGCCGTCCCACCAAAAAGCATTGAATCATCGCCCACGAGGGATGGTTCAATGCCCGGTGTATTCGACACAGGAGTGCCCAGAGGCACATGAGTATCCATCACTCACTGATCACTTATCCTGATAAGATTACATAGCTGCTCCATCAACAGGACATGGTAGCCGCTATTGGGCGATCGGGGTGTGGTCAGAAACGGGTTTCGTGAAGAAAGATTGAGAAGAACTTGCGCTTCAAAGACTGAAAAAACAGCCTTTGTCAGACCGGAAGATCGTGTATATGTTTTACAAGGTTCAGGGATGATATGAACAAGTCGCCTGGTACGTGGCTGCACGAAAATGCATGGCAATGGGCTGTTGCTACCTTCTCTCTAATCGCTGAGTAAAGTCGTCGATGGGAGATCGCACCATCGACGTGCAGACGACTACAAGTCTTCGGTCGCCTCCCCCTTCCGCATCTCCCACTACGACTCTGCTTGCTCCACTTCATCTCGCTAGAAATGATTTTTGTATGAGATCATCACAGTGCTGTCTCTTTTCTCTACTTGTCGGAACACAAGTTCAGAAAATGATATTCGACGAGGAAATCAGCAAATCAACATGACATCGCTCGATGTATGTAGTATTGGTATACTCAAGCGAGAATATTGCTCAAATCGATGCAATTAAATGGAACCTGGAAGCCTGGAAGTTACCCAATCACTCATAGTGATCTCGTGCTGATCCATTCATGTTATTTTCTCGTGGACTTGGGCTTGACAAATTTGAAGGACATTTCTTGTGGATCACATGTAAGCTCATCGGACTCTTCGACAGAACTTTTAGTTTGGCAACTCATACAACGAGCCAAACGAAGCCAGAAATCACGCGTGATTTTGGCGCATGTTCTTGCGTGATTGCATTTCACAGCGACCGTAACTCAAACGCAAGGCTCTCGATTTCAGTCTCTCGCATCTGAGGCTCAGCAGAGCTGGCAGATATTTTTCTCTCTTCATTGACGTCGGGCCTGCCTTCAGCGGTGCTCAATACTTTGAGACTTTTATCTTGACATGTAAGCTCGCCGAATGAACCTTTCTGTAGCAAAAAGCACCAGACCAGGACGTACTGGAAGTTTTGTAGTTGCAGTAATTCACCAGTGCCTGAATGAAATACAATCATGCAGTTGACCAGGCAGGGCTGAGTTGATGGCCTCAGGCTGTTAGATCGCCCCTCGACCAGCGGCAGCGGGGTCCTGTGGCGCAAATTCGCACCGCGTTGCCCCATTTTCAGGGCGGGCAGGTCGTGCCTGGCTCGCAATCCCACGCGTCATACCATCCAGAGCGCTTCGTCACTGCTTCATTTGTTTGGAGGATTCAAGGCCTGTTGCGGCGAACGATCGAAATTGTCCGAGTGATCCTTCACGTCCTACAAAAACGAAGCGTCACTATCATTGCACCTTCCCTCCTCGAATCAGCTTCTTTCGTTCGTCTCCGAACGTGACTGGCGTGGACACTCTCATTACGAGTTTCACACCATTACACTTAGGCCTGTCAGCTCCGAAGATCTTCTCGTTGATATCGAAACATTCAAACTTATCTCAAATGGGCGGCGCCACGTGTCCGCACTTGAAGCAATATGCTCATCTAAATCCGCCTCGTCCATCAGAATCGGTCTATCGTGAGGACTGTACCCGATGCTTCGACAGTGCCGACGATGAAGCCGGTCTTGATGTGTGCCTGCACTGCTTCAACGGGGGTTGCGCTGGCGAACGCGTTCATGGGCAACAGCATGCGAAGCAATTCGATCACCCACTGGCCGTTCGCATTCAGCGCTCAAGGAAACGCAAGTCACGCGACGACCATGAGCCACCGGAGAAGATGAAGAAGTTGGAGATCAAGGCCGAGACCGATGCGGAAAGATATGACACCAAGACAGAGCTACACTGTTTCGAGTGCGGTGTTCATGGCCTGTCCGATGCAGGTCAGCTGGATCAGGTGGTCCAGGGCGTGTTGAAGGCCAACACATTTGCGCAGCAAGAAGAAGTCAAAGCCTGGGAGCTAGAACTACAACCGTGTGATCACACAATATTCATGGAGCAAGAGCCGGCGCGAGAGATACCCAGCGGAGCTTTGAGTCGTTGCAACGATTGCGAGCTCAATGAGAACTTATGGCTATGTCTCACGTGTGGAAACCTAGGCTGTGGGCGGCGGCAGTTCGGTGGCTCAGGTGGAAACAATCACGGTGTCGATCATACGACATCCAGCGGACATGCGGTGGCTGTCAAGCTGGGATCTTTGACGGCGGACGGAAATGCCGATATTTACTGCTACCAATGCGACGAGGAGCGCACTGATCCCAAATTGGTCGCACATCTTGCTAATTGGGGCATTGATATCGCCAGCAGAGTGAAGACGGAGAAGAGTTTGGCGGAGCAACAACTGGAGCAGAACTTACATTTCGACTTCGCAATGACAGACGCTGATGGTCGGCAACTTCGACCACTATTCGGGCCAGGTCTGACAGGCTTGAAGAATTTAGGCAATAGTTGCTATCTGGCATCCGTACTTCAGGCCCTATTTTCCATGCCAGAGTTCGAGCAGAGATATCTTCGTCATGATGAACCGTCATCGCTTCCGCAGAAGCCTGCAGAGGACCTGGAAATACAATTACGGAAACTTGCTGATGGACTTCTCACTGGTCGATACAGTAAACCAGATACAGATGTGATGGCCTCAGGAGATGTTGATGATATTCCGCACCAGCGCGGCCTCGCTCCTGCAATGCTCAAACACCTCATTGGCCGTGGTCATGCCGAATTCGCTTCAATGCGCCAACAAGACTCTTTCGAACTCTTGCTCCATATCCTCAAGCTCATTTCACGGTCACAGCAATCATCAAGCGGAACCTATTCGAACATTAACGACCCTGTGGATGCGTTTCGTTTCGTGATGGAGCAGAAGTTGACATGCTTGGCCTGCAAGAAGGTGAGATACCGACAAGATGAGATGGAGAACCTTTCGGTCGCTGTTCCTATTCGGAGAAAGGCTGCAGCGAAATCTCCAGGCGGGGATGAGATCATGACGACACCATCTGCACAGGATGCTAAAATCGAGTCGGAGTTCGAGTCTGTCACGCTTGAGCAATGTCTCGATGATTACACCGCGCCGGAACTCGTCGAGCTTACTTGTTCCTCCTGTGAGCACAAATCGTTCTCCAAACAATCATTGTTCAAGTCATTTCCTACGATACTGGCCATCAATGCTCGAAGGTTTGAGATTGTCAATTGGGTTCCCACGAAACAGGATGTGCCTGTCATAGTCGGCGACAACTCTCTTGATCTCGATCGTTATCGATGCAAAGGCAAAATCGAGGGCGAAGAAGAGCTTCCCGATGATGGCTCCGCCGGCGCCGAACAACAGAATACGGCTTTCGTCCCGAATGAGTCTGGTTTAGAAATGTTGATGAGCATGGGCTTTCCGCGTGTTCGCTGCGAAAAGGCTCTCCACGCTACAGGCAACGCCGATACCGAGATGGCAGCCGCATGGCTCTTCGAGCACATGGAAGATCCAGATATCGATACGCCTCTACAGCTGTCCTCCAGTAGTGGCGGTGCTCAATCGTCCTCTGCAGGCGGCGCTGCAGCCACCGTCGTGGATCCAGATAGTATCGAAGCGCTCGGGAACATGGGCTTCTCCGCACCCCAAGCACGTCAAGCCCTAAAGGAAACTGGCGGAGACATGGAACGTGCGGTCGATTGGCTTTTCAGCCATCCTGACGCAGTGGGAGATTTCGACGACGATGCCATGACTATATCCAACGAGACCGCCGCCGACTCAACTGTTGCTCCGACTAGTGCTGCTTCAACAATTGGCGGCGAACCCACCGACACTGCTTCTGCGAATTTCCAGCTCAAGAGCATCGTTTGCCATAAAGGCGCGAGCATCCATGCAGGTCACTACGTCGCATTCGTTCGCAAGGAGAATCTCCCATCTCAGCCTACGCCCCAGCAGCAGTTGAATACTTCATCATCGACAATTGCAACTTCGGCGAATGCTACTACGGCGGGGAGTGCGGGCACGGAGTGGGTTTTGTACAATGATGAGAAGGTGGCATTGGGAGGCGATGTTGAGGAGATGAAGAAGTTTGCTTATATTTACTTTTTGAGGAGGGTTTGAGTAGTGCGCTTGCCAGTGGGGATGGTGGAGTTGTGAGGATTTGGGCATGCTGAAGGGTTGTATCATCAGGAGGTTTGAGTAGAGAAGAGAAGGTCGGTTCTTTTGATACCAGCGGAAGGCGTCGGAAGTTGGCGGCGAGTCTCGATGTGGATACATTGCGTGGCCGTGGTGCATTGAGAAAGGTGGTTGTTTCTAGTCGGGAGGTGTCACTGCGTGGGAGTTGATACGGTGGACGTGAACAGCATAGGTATATCTATCGACTGAAGCTCGAAAAATTGCCTTATTGGCCTCACCTCTCAGCCTTGAAGGCATCTTCCAAAACTCCGGCTGAACGTCGTCCTCGCTTCAATTTCCTACTAACGTACAGGAGGCTGCCAGCCACAAGCCGCCATGGCCTTGTGCACGTCAAATCGATCCACGGCAGTCCACCACCAAAACCTTGAGATTTCATCTTTCCGCGCCAGAGCGGTATAATAATCAGCTACTATGCCACCTTCTCCCCTCGCTCTCGCTTCGACACAGCTCAGATAAAACGCGCGATCTGCCCTCATGACTTCAATGTCCACGATTTTGCTATCATGCCGTGCCCACGTAAAACTTCCGTCGTCGTTTTCGCTCGGCTCGTGCACGAGGAAGCGAGGATACTCGGCCGCAAATTGAAGCGGTCGAAACTCCGCGCAGCCAAGGTCGATGATGCTTTGTACGTTTGAGTCGTCATCGAGGATGATTTTGACGCCCACAAGATCGCCGTGGACGAGAACGTGAGGAGAAGCGTCGAGGTCGGGGATGAAGTATGTCGTGATGAGATCTTTCTGTCGCCGACACTCGTCGGGTGTGCCTCTGTACGTGCCTGCTTGGGCCCGAGCGATTTGCGATCGATTTTAGCCGTTATTCATTCCAGCGCCGTCGCTCCTGGAATTTCTGTCTTAGTAGAAGCGAGAACCTGTGCAGTCACCAATCGCGACGCATACCAGCGCGAGCAGTCCGTAAGAGGTCCAGGGTCACATTGGCGACAGTGTGCATTATTCTTTGACGAACGGCCAGATCGCTAGGTACGGTATCGGACCATTCCATTGTCTTACCATCCGCCCAGCCTAGCACTAAATAGCCTGTCCCAAGCGGATTATCAGCAGATGGGTCCGCGGCGATCAGTGGCTGGAAGTAGTCGATGCGTGCATCGTCGACGAGCCGACGATTTCCGATCTCTTCTGTGATTCGGAGTTTGATAAGAGGAGTGTAGGCTCCGTGAAAAATTCAGAAACAGATTCTTCTTGAACGGTTCTTGACCTCGAGCACATATATTGCACACTCGACGCCGGAGAAAGGCGCAGAATCGGTGCCTAGGATAAAGTGTGATGGACGACCGAACAGTCGATTAGCGATGGCAAGTATTGCTTCTGGGCAAGGCGTAGAGGTTGTCATGGTCATGGCCGCGGATGAGGCGCTCGGTGATCGAATGCTTCGCGGTCGTGGGATGAGAAGAGTGCACCGCAGCTGATGGGTAATAATAGTTGAGGTTGCACAAGGATTTTAATCGTCAACAAGCATGTCAACAAAGCCGCAACATAACACAGCTGATCCCGGCCATTACTATGCTTATGCCGCTTCAAGCCATTCATATTACATATATAATCATAATGCTGCCTAGATTGGCAGATATCTAAAAAACTTCTGAGCGCGCTCAATCAAGCCGAGTGACACTCATATTACGGTCATTTGACGTGTCCACACTCAATTCAAGCAAGTCAAGACATGCTTGCCATTGCGCCTAATTGCTCAGACAGAAGGGCGGCCAATGTCGATGAACAAAAGATGTCGCGCGCCTTACATCCGTGGATCGCTCGCCTTCAACAAGTCCCCATGTAGATGTAACGTGGTACGCCCGGGGATCTTCTCGATTCCGTGGCGACGGAATAGCTCCTTGAAGATCGACGAGTTTCGTGTCGTCCATGTTGTCGAACTTCGGCAGCAAATCGCTGAAAGGGTGAAAGCCGTTGAATTGGTCGACAGTAGACGTCTCGACAAGGTTGGACATCGCAATTTGTGTCCAAGAGAAGATATTATAATGAATGTGGATTGAGATGTTGGGAAATTCGAGGAAACGTGGACTGAGCAGCACGATTATATAACTTCTGCGTCGAGATATGAATCACTGCTTTCTTAGATCAGCGTGTTTTAAAAGCATTGTCGACGGTAAAGGCATCGTGACAACATGCATGCCTTGTAAGCTGCCTAGCTTCGCGCACAGCTCAGCGCCGATATGCGACATGCCGGTCGTCCGACATTCGCCGTTCTGTACGACTGAATGCGGCTACGAGACCTGGCGAACCTTCATAGATACTTCGGCCGCGCTGGGAATTGCACATTCGAAATCTCCGACGTAGCACGTTGCTTGACTTGGTGAAGAATGCACGTACAAGGATTTCCATGCCAGCGATGAGCGCGCTTGAGCGGACTCTTGGTGGGATAACAGTCAGCAACAATAATTCCTTACCAGCAAAATGTGCTGGGAATTCAAAGAGAGTTCGCAGATCTAAAGCTTGATGTGAAAATGAGCTGCTGAGACTTGGATTGGACGGTATTGCGGAATCGTGGGCATTCCAGTGGATCTTTCGACTGTGCCGCAGAGATAAGAGACGCCACGCGGCACACCCTTACCAACAATCGTGAGAAGCTTGTGATATGTTGGCATCCACCATCGTGTGTGTAAATAATGCTTCGTGTTCTATGCAGCGGCATTTATTTCTCCCCGCTAGTTCGATGCGTAGTTCTCGCGTGAGACACCGGAAAGCCGACGTTTATCGTGGGGATATGGTTATGTGATGACCGGATAATATTTCCGTTGCGCTAGATCATTCATGTCTCGGTCTTCTTCCTACTGCTGCTAACCTTGGCAGGTTGTTTCACCCGGACTCTAAATGCGTTTGGACTTTACGGGTAGCCCTACGCTGCTTGAGGAATTTTTGTCTGCAGTGGCATGGCTTAACGCTGTGATGCATGTCACGCGCATGGAGAGCGACTCGGTGCGGTGCAGTTGCGATAAGAAAAGAGCTGCTCACCTTCCGCTTTCGGATAGATCCTCCGCGTCTAAAGTATGCCTCGATTTGACATATGCCGTGGCTCTCATTCGCGGTTCTTGTCGGAAGGACTGAACCGTGTAAGGTTACCACTCCGGCGGCTTTGTCTTTGTTACTCTATCTAGGTAGGCTGATGCGATGAGGTGATTCTCCGAGAATGTAGAATATCGCATGGCGAGGAGATGCAGACAAAGGAGATGGACGATCTTCGCAAACACTGCGTCGACCATCGATTCCCACGGCCACGATGGAGCATTCCACCAAATGGTTTGTTTGTGCTCGCACAAATCAAGACAAAATACGCACATTACCCGGACTAGACATTGAGCCGAAGCGGGATCAGCGGGACGGAAGGGCGGATAGATGCGAGAGACGGACTTCATCTTTCGAAGTGTTCTAGCGCCACGTCCACCGAATCCCCGATGCCACCCTCCTTTATCTCTCTCGACCAATCACTTGCTCCATCCGAGGCGATCTGCTCAAGATGTGGTCGTAGTGCCGCATATCTGACCGTTACATGACCCGTCTTTCATACAAGCAGTGACGAGCTACTGCTTTCGGCGCGCACGAAGAGACGACGGCGATGCAACCTTGAATCCTGCGTCTAGGCTGTGCCGCCTCTTTTTGCGCCTCCCTTGTCTCCGCTTCCGTACGATCGTCATTCGGACTTCCTCTCGTATTGAACGCCTCATCGTTTAGAACATCATTCCGTGGCCAACCTATCTTTCTCCTAGTCGATAGTGGCGAGTCGCGAAAGAAACATCCTTGTCTCGCTCGACCGTCGTCGCGCATGTCGCGTGCTCTTCACCGTGCATGGACTCCGACATTCTCGCCCGTTGCGCAAAGCCGTTGCTGCCCCGCTCGGCTCAACTGCATTCGGAGGGCTGTCCCGTCTGGGGGCATGAGACGGACAATGTTCCATTGACTACCTCGCAGGAGATAATGAAAACCTTATTGGTCACGATTCAATCTCTTCTCATGCTGCCCTCTGCCAGAGGATAGCGGGGTGGGAATGGGATCACCCTCGGCCGATCATTTGCTGAAAAAAGGAAAGCGGTTCGGTCCCGGAAACAAACTCTCAAGAGCAACGGCGGAGGAGGTCTTCTGCTTCCATCAGATCTTCTAGCTGCAAATGCAGCCACCACTTCCCACCAATCAGTGCCAATCAGTTTAAGCTTTCTTGTCTGTGCCGCCACCATGTATCGCGTGCCCGCATGCCCGCCCGCATTTGCCATTATCATTTTAGGCCGAATTGCTCATCATTCTCTTATCAGTTGGATCCAATACAGCAGCACACATCTGTCGGTCATTCCGGAGCTCGCGCGCACACATGGCAATCGTTCGGTCGGTACTCATAAAAATGTATCGTCGCAGATAGACTTCCGCATCGCATAACTACCCTGCTCAATCCAACTTGTGTTCCACTGCTCTCTCGTTCTTCCTCCTCCTCTTGTCCTCCCTTCTCTGTCCCTTGTCGTGCATTTCTATATAGATTGGTTGTGGCAGTCAAGTGGCACTGCGCGACAATCGTCACAGAACAACGAACCGCAAGACAACACCTCTCTGATCTCTTGGAGCGCTCTGCTCCTTCGCGCTGCCATCATGAGTGGTGGACCTATGCTCGACGATCTGGCTTATGCCGCCGCGATCCGTCAACCCAGTATCGTCCCAGCACCTGACGAGAAAGGTGCCCTCGATGTACATGTTGGTGGTGCTCCTCCGAATTACTCCAGCTCGGAGGAAGGAGACTCGCATCTTCCGGAGCCAACACATGAGGAGCTTCAAACTTTGCGTCGTATCTCCGGCAAGATCCCATGGCAAGGTAAGAATCAAGATCATGCCACGCATTACGTGAAAGTCGCGTTGAAATGTTGATTCCACGGTCATTTTTCACGTCAAATGGGCTAATCGTTTCTTCCCTCCAGCTATGTCAATTACCTTTGTCGAGTTTTCAGAGCGATTCTCTTGGTACGGAACTACAGCTCTTTTCGTCAACTTCATTCAACAGCCGCGACCATTTGGCTCACGGACGGGCGCCATTGTCGAAAGCGACTACTGTTACAATGCCCCAGGATGGGATTACGACTCTTGCACCCAGCCCGGTGGTCTGGGACGGGGTCAACAGGCCTCTACTGGTTTGACTACTTTCAACCAGTTTTGGGCGTATCTCATGCCGCTCTTCGGCGGTTACATTGCCGATACATACCTCGGACGATACATGACCATTCAATGCTCGATCGCTTTCGCCATTCTCGGCCACATTTTGCTCATTATCTCGTCGCTGCCTACCGTCATGGACTCTCCTGACACTGCACTTGGAGTCTTCGCCTTGGCGCTGGTCATCCTCGGCCTGGGAACAGGTGGATTCAAATCAAACATTTCACCACTCCTCGCCGAGCAAATTGCCGAAACCCGTCCTCATGTGGTTACGGACAAGAAGGGCGAGCGCGTCATCCGTGACCCGGCCGTCACTATTTCTCGCGTTTTCCTATACTTTTACATGATGATCAACATTGGTTCGCTCATCGGCGGTATTGGCATGGTTTATGCAGAGCGCTACATCGGCTTCTGGCTTGCTTATGCACTCCCGACATTCGTCTTCTTTCTCGCTCCGGTAGTCCTGATCACCACCAAGAAGAAGTTAATCACCCGACCTCCGACTGGATCCGTCCTCGGCCGTGCTTTCAAGCTGTTGAGTATGGCAAGCAAGGGCAAGTGGTCCATCAACCCGGTTCGCACGTACCGTAACTACAACCAAGGCGGTTTCTGGGATGCCGTCAAGCCTAGCACTCTCGGTGCCAGTGCGCCCGAATGGATGCGCGACATCGATGACGCCTGGGTCGAGCAAGTCGCTCGTGGTTTTGATGCTTGCAAAGTCCTCTTCTGGATGCCGCTGTACTGGCTCTCCTACAATCAGATCACCAACAACTTGACCTCGCAATCTGCTGTTATGCAGCTCAACGGAGGTTTGTTCCTGCCAAATCCTTCTTACTATGATACCCCAATTACTAACAATCACCTTCCACAGTCCCTAACGATCTCATCAACAACCTCAACCCCCTCACTCTCGTCATCTTCATCCCTATTATGGACTACGCCGTCTATCCTGTCCTCCGCAAATTCCACATCCACTTCACCCCGATCAAGCGAATCGCGGCCGGTTTCTTCGTCGCCAGCGCCGCCATGATCTCCTCCGCCGTCATGCAACACTACATCTACGCCGAGTCTCCCTGCGCCGCCGACGTTATCAGCACGCAAAAGGGCTGTGCCGCGCCCATCAACGTCTGGTGGCAGGCCATTCCCTACTGTCTCATCGCTTTCAGCGAGATCTTCGCCAGTATTTCTAGCTTGGAGTACGCTTTCAGCAAAGCGCCCGAGAACATGCGTGGTTTGGTCATGGGTGTGCAGCTTCTACAGTCGGCTTTCTCTTCGGCCATCGGACAGGCGCTTCTGCCTTTGTCGACTGATCCTCTGCTTGTGTGGAACTATGGTGTCGTCGCTGTCCTTGCCTTCATTGGTGGTGTGGGCTTCTGGTGGACCTGGAAGGATCTTGATGCTCGCGAGGATGAGCTCAACATGATTCAGCACACCAGCTACGAAGGCCGTAAGGGCTCTGTCGTCGGCGATGACGTTGCGAGGACACCTGTCGAGAAGATCTGAGGATAATTCTACTTGGCTGATTCCGCTTGAAGCGTTGGTATTTTGGGGCAATGTTCTGAGTAACGAATTAAATTCCAAAGATGATTTACACGTTTATGACATGATACACCTTTGAAATATGTCCTGCACAAGTTAGAAGAGTTCCATGATGACGAAAAGTATCGTCATCATGATCTGACAGGAAAGGTGCTCTGACGCATACGAATGGAGCATTTATATGCAGTTTCAGTAGACGGACTACTCTCATTCATACTTCCTAGAACATCATCCTGTTGCGCCAACAACTAACGTCCCTCCCGGCGTCGCGAGCCACCCTATGTAACGAGCCAGCATTGGACACTTTGATCGATAATACTCTTCAACACCGATATGAATTTGCTTTGCTGTATCTACACTGTAGGTTAGGATGTTACCCTTCGATCGACCGCTCTACATCGAAATCGGGTGAGTGTTGCAGTCGCTGTGATCGATTCCTTCCTCGTGTAAAATCCTAGTCATCTCGTGAATCGCTTCGTGTGAGTGTATTTCTGATCAGCTCGCAGCGTTGCTCGGCTCGGCGGGCTGCGGAGAGTCCGCTCTATTGCTGCCTTCAGCATCGTTTTGTCTCATCGAGGTTTGCGCGATGCCGAGTGCTGCCGCCGGCGAGGTTCACGATATCATGTCGGAATC